GTCATTCTGGGAATTTTCCACCCCTTTCCAAGAAAACACATGAATATTCCAGCCCCCCCCCACTTAACGTAAAATTAGAGAATCATCGTAAAGGGGAAAATTTTGTTAAACTCACAGTCTCTTCCACTCCCAGGGGTTGACCTGTTTCTTCTCTGGAATGCACTTTGCCTGTTTGCATCTGCTTGGTCTGCTCATTTGCTCCACGGACTTGATACCAGTCACCATTCTTCAGTACTGTGAACCAAGAACCAGGGAACTCAGACCTGACATCTGGTCCCCACATTGACAGGAGAGCCTTTACTTTCTACCTAAAACGTGTGTTCAAGTGCTCCATAGCTGCTTTAACTTTGCTGACCAAGTCCATGGTGCAGAACAAAGGAACTGGCTCCGCTAAAGGTGCAGGCAAGTTGCCACCTTTTATGGTGACTTTCATCTTTAGATTCCCCCCTCAGATCTTGCAGCATTGCCTCTCCAGAATCCAGACCCCAACAGGATAGGTCTTTTTTTATTAAGCTGGAAATTTGGATTTTATATTTAAGCCTTTTTAAAGTTGCACAAGCCAGATTCAGCCCCTGGGCCAGCAGCTTACAGCCTCTGATATAACTAGTGTATAGTAGGAATCTGCTTACCCCATGTTCTTGTTTAGTGGCTCCATGAGAACTCTGTGGCGAGCCATACATTGCTATACAAACAGGAGGACATTTGGGGGTTTGTATTTGCCCCACAGAGCAGATGATTTGATCACCATCCAAGCCCTGTTCTTTCACAGTGAGCCGAATAAGCATGGTTTTAGAACTAATGAGGTGGAACCGCCTGCTTCTCTTCCTTTCCTATTGTATGATGCATGTGAATAAGCCATTGTCAGGAAAATAAAGCTTTGTTGTTTTTCATAGATACATAAAGTGGACTTGGCCCGTGGGCATGCATCACAGTTGTAAAGTAGGCAAGTTTGTCTTTTGTTACCAAACATAACAGTATTCTGGGCTGCTTCCCTCCATCTCACCTGACTTAACCTGGCACCTGCATGGTAGGGTGCTCTGTGCTTTCATCACATCGTCAAAAGCAGCTGTTCCGACAGGCATTGGGTCTAGATGGAATTTTGAGGAGGCTAGGATAGTCCCACCCTTATGTGCCCACGTAGATGCTTAGCTAAAAGGTTACTGGAAATCTGCAGAGTAAATGCCTCTAGGATTCTATCAGCCATGAGCTGGAAAAGGGAGAGAGTCCTTTCGACATGTCACCTTCGCCCGACCTACCAAATAGGACCACTAAGAAAAGTCAGATGACAGTGGATTTCTCAGGATATTGTGAATTTTTCTTTTTCTTCTTTTTTTTTTTTTTGAGACAGAGTCTCACTCTGTTGCCTGGGCTAGAGTGCCGTGGCATCAGCCTCGCTCACAGCAACCTCAAACTCCTGTGCTCAAGCAATCCTGCTGCCTCAGCCTCCTGAGCTGAGACTACAGGCACGTGCCACCATGCCCGGTTATTTTTTAAATATTTTTAGTTGGCCAATTAATTTCTATTTTTAGTAGAGATGGGGTCTTGTTCTTGCTCAGGCTGGTCTCAAACTCCTGAGCTCAAATGATCCACCCGCCTTGGCCTCCCAGAGTGCTAGGATTACAGGTATGATCCACAGCACCCGGCCAAGATTGAATTTTTAAAAGCAACTCAGCTGCTGCTTTTCTATTTCCTTCCTCTGTGCTTCTGATTTGAATGTGTTTTCCTCATGCTTTGGGCTCAAAAAAGTTTTAAAATCTACTTATTCAATCAATCATTAAATACATATTAGATACCTACAAATTGCCCGGCACTGTGCTGACCTGGTCAAAACATTTCCACCTCAAAAGATCAAATCAGACAATGATTGCACATGCTGAATTTTAGAATATTCTTCCAAAAAAGGAACTTTTGACCTCCTGTGAAAGAGCTTTCAAATGTTCTATAAACCAAACATCAAATGTTATTTATAGTTATATAGATTGTGCAATCATATTTTGCATTTATGAAACTTTTAAATGCAGCATAATTCCACAATATCTTTGGAATTCCATGCTTTAAACTACTTATAAGGGAAAAAAATCTGAGAAACTAAATGTGAGAGAATGCTTATGTCTTCATATACATATATATTTAGACAAAAGCATTGAATAAGCATACAACAGAAAGCTTCGGATCTCTGAACAGGACAAGCTTTAAGTTGAAGACATGTTTCTTCTTTTTTTTATATTTTCTTTATAAAAAAATCTTTAAACAATTTTTTTCTATGTTTATTTTCTCATACCAGGTTACAAAGATGCAGAGAAGACATATATATAGATGCACATAGATTGGTAAAAAAGTTGAAGTGGTTCTTTTATTGTAATCCCTTTTTGGGTGATAGATCAAGTATAGTTGCCACTATTCAGATAGAAAAAGTTATATGATTTAAAATTCAGTCTGAAACTGCAGTTACTTTTGCACCCAACTAACATTAGAGGATGTCAGTTTTTTGTGGTTTTTTTTTGAGACAGAGTCTCACTCTGTTGCCTGGGTTGGAGTGCCGTGGCATCAGACTGGCTCACGGCAACCCCAAACTCCAGGGCTCAAGCAATCCTCCTGCCTCAGCCTCCTAAGTAGCTGGGACTACAGGCATGCACCACCGTGCCCGGCTAATCTTTTTCTGTATACATTTTTAGTTGTCCAGCTAATATATTTCTATTTTTTTTTTTTTAGTAGAGCTGGGGTCTCGCTCTTGTTCAGGCTGGTCTCGAACTACAGGCATGTGTCACCATGCCCAGCTAATTTTTTCTCTATATTTTTAGTTGTCCAGCTAATTTCTTTCTCTTTTTAGTAGAGATGGGGTCTCGCTCTTGCTCAGGCTGGGCTTGAACTCCTAAGCTCAAATGATCCTCCCGCCTAGGCTTCCAAGAGTGCTAAGATTATGGGTGTGAGCCATCAGGCCCAGCCAAGAGCTCTTGATGTATTGTTAACATTTGCCCTTCAAAACAGAGATTTTTAAATTTTCTTTACATCAAAAGACAACTTACTAGACACAATTTTTAAATATTCATGTTCAACAGCTATTATAGTGCATCACAAACCTGATTAAGCCTTTTTTCTTTCCCCTAAGGGTTTCTGTATAGAATTTACACAGGGCACAGTTCTTTTGTCATCGGCTTCTCTAACTTGAACTCTCAAGACTTACAGCGAACCCATCCATTTTCAACCTCAAGGAAAAACAGATCTTGGGGCTCCTCAATATGAAGTTAGAAACTCTTCACACTCAAACATTCTAAAGAAAAATTTTGAAGCTATTTTCCTCTGTTAGGCAGAGGAAGTTAGGCAACCCATACTTTCATTATAATGGGGTAAGGGCTTTGTGTTTATATTTGGAGAGGGAATGGCTCTAGAAAATGTCCCTGAATAGCAATTTATATTAACATGCATTTGTTCCCTATAAAAATTTTTGTCTGTCAAAGATGATTCAGAATGAAGTTAAATGAACAACAACAACAACAAAAAAAACACCTTAATTTGTGCCAAAAAACTTTTAATTTTTCAACTCAAAAATGAAATAGTGGCCGAGCACGGTGGCTCACACCTGTAATCCTAGCACTCTTGGAGGCCGAAGTGGGAGGATCACTTGAGCTCAGGAGTTCAAGACCAGCCTGAGCAAGAGTGAGACCCCGTCTCTACTAAAAATAGAAATTAGCTGGACAACTACAAATATATAGAAAAAATTAGCTGGGCATGGTGGCGCATGCCTGTAGTCCCAGCTACGCAGGAGGCTGAGGCAGGAGGATCGTTTGAGCCCAGGAGTTTGAGGTTGCTGTGAGCTAGGCTGACTCCACGGCACTCTACCCTGGGCAACAGAGTGAGACTATCTCAAAAAAAAAAATGAAAAGAAAAGAAAAAAAAAATGAAATAGTTAAAAGGATTTCTGTTACTACAAATTTTTATTTTAAAATTTTTGAGGGCCGGGCGACGGTGGCTCACGCCTGTAATCCTAGCACTCTGGGGGCCGAGGCGGGCGGATTGCTCGAGGTCAGGAGTTCGAACCAGCCTGAGCAAAGTGGAACCCGTCTCTACTATAAATAGAAAGAAATTAATTGGCCAACTAATATATATAAAAAATTAGCCGGGCATGGTGGCGAATGCCTGTAGTCCCAGCTACTTGGGACGCTGAGGCAGGAGGATTGCTTGAGCCAGGAGTTTGAGGTTGTGTGAGCTAGGCTGACGCCACGGCACTCACTCTAGCCTGGGCAACAAAGCGAGACTCTGTCTCAAAAAAAAAAAAAAAAAAATTTTTTTTGAGACAGAGTCTTGCCGTGTCACCTGGGGTAGAGTGCCATGGCATCAGCCTAGCTCACAGCAACCTCAACTCCTGGGCTCAAGTGATCCTCCTGCCTCAGTCTCCTGAGTAGCTGGGACTACAGGCATATACCACCATGCCCAGCCTACAAAATTTTTTTTTTAAAAAAGGTAATTTTGTGATTGATCTAATTTAGCCACTTATCAAGAAAATAAACCATCCCAGACACTAAATTCAGTATTTCAAAAGTAATCCAAGGCCGGGCGCGGTGGCTCACGCCTGTAATCCTAGCTCTCTGGGAGGCCGAGGCGGGCAGATTGCTCGAGGTCAGGAGTTCGAAATCAGCCTGAGCAAGAGCGAGACCCCGTCTCTACTATAAAGAAATTAATTGGCCAACTAATATATATATGTACAGAAATTAGCCGGGCATGGTGGCGCATGCCTGTAGTCCCAGCTACTTGGGAGGCTGAGGCAGAAGGATTGCTTGAGCCAGGAGATTGAGGTTGCTGTGAACTAGGCTGACGCCATGGCACTCACTCTAGCCTAGGCAACAAATCGAGACTCTGTCTCAAAAAAAAAAATAAGTAATCCAAAGATACACAAGAGTCTGTCATGGGCTACTGAAACATAGTAAGACAAGGTCGTATGGCTAAATGTGGTTTGGAAAAATCTTGATGTATTAGAATAAACACATTAATTCACACTATAATTTACTTTGTACTTTACAAACTTTATTAAATAATGGGCATTACTAACTTTTATTATCTTATATACAGTATTTAAACTATGTTTTCCTAGATGCATTTTTTCCCCACAAAGAATAATGTAGGTGAAAAGTGAATTTATTAAAAAAAAAAAAAGAAGAACCACCTTCAGTACAGGAAACTAATAAGAACTTGACATACTTTTAAGTACATGTAACTTTTCCCCCCAATTATATACATCCCCACCCCACCTCCAAAAGAAACTATTTTTAAACAAAAGCAATCATTTGATAACCTTGAAGGAAAATACAAACATGATTATACATACACAGCTCTTAAAACCTGTGTCCTGGCCAACAGAAGTGATCTATAAAACTACAGATGTGTTCTTGAACCTAAGAACCACATAGATATTTTATATAGTAAGACATCCACCTTTGTGCAGTGGGGGGTGTATTCCTACAGGCGATGCCAAGTCGTACAAGACACTAGTGTGGAGAATAATTTCTGAAAGACGACAATTTCTATTATGGACTATTAGAATTTGGGTCATATAAACCAAAAAGCAAAAATGGGAAACTGCATTCCTGGGGCAAGAGTCAGGTAGCTGTTTACAGGTAATACAAATGTACTTACACACACATCTGTAGCAAGTCTTAAGAACATACTTTCTTATGCTTATCTTTTTTGATACTTCTTAATCTTGAAAACTCATATCATGTTTAAATGAAGGCAGTGAAAAGAGGAATGTTTCCAGAGCCATGTTATTCAATATGGGCTTTGTTTTATAAGCTATAATAGTGTGGAGAAGCAATAAACTTGGGTTATTTAAAAAGTAAAACAAATGCCTTAGGTACCTATTTGTAAAATAAAAATGGTCACATTTGATGTTTTACAGTTAAGAGGCATAGGACTTAAAAAGAGGAAAAGAATTATGATGTCACTTATTCAATATTATTGCTTATCTTTAAATGAGAAACCCTGACCCCTTTCCCTACACAAAGTATTTATCTTTTAAAATGGAAACTCAGAGGGTGGGGAAGGGCCACAGAATATACCTACCACTACTTAAAAAATGCCACTATTTGAGAAAGCATTCCTGCTGTATTAACCATGGTCTTAACAAAATAGAATACTTTTATAAGGTAGCAATAAATCTGCCTTTTTCTCTTTAGCTTTGATTTTGCTTTTTACTCACATCTTTTGTTTTTTTGTTTTTTTTGGTTTTCTTTCCTAAGGAGTGGGAATAGTATATAGTATCACAATGAAATCCTGTATAAAGACTATAATTACAATTTAAAAGATATTAGAACCTAGTTAACCAAAAGATTCTGTTTTTATATGCCTCACAAGAATTGCAAAAAGGCTCCATGTTACACATGGTTTAGAAAATTGATTCTTGCCCTCCTATTCCTGCAGCCAGTGACTTCTCAGGGCTAAGGTCAAGTAGCCCATTTGGCGGAGTCCAAAACTCAGGAAGCTGCCATGTGAAAAACTCCTCTGGGAAAGGTGACTTCTTAAAGTGCTTTGTCTTATTTTAGCTTATGGTTCCGCACACACAATGCCGTGGAGGTCTCTGTTTTGGGTTTTGTGTCACAATCAAGCTGTTCCCAGAAGTCATCCTATCTTTTCTAAGAACTAAGTGAATCTGCATTTTATTGACCTTGGTTTTCTTTAGGCCATTAAGGAAATAATTCATTTCACCCCAGAAATCATATACTCAACGCCATGAGCAGTGCATTCTCCAGGCCTTGTCCAGGAATACAGGCAAAGGGCTTTGCTTAAACAACAAAATGCAAATTGGTCCTGCTACATTTTAATTTTCAATAGCCACACAATTTCTACGTGAAAATGAAATGATATAGGAATACTGGCATGGAAACTCTAAAACGGGCACTGCAGACTATGTGACAATGAGAGATCTCTGACTTACATTATTCTAAAGTCTTGCCACAGATGTAACAAAAATTCTTTAAACAGCTTTCCGTGCTGCCTTTGAGTCACAGGATAAAATTACTTGGGGCTTCCGGATAATATGAGAGGATTATTGCATTTCTTATCGTATAAGCACTTTGTCAGGATAAGGGAAAAAAAACATTATGGCAGCCCATCATGTTAAAAAAAAAAAAAGCCTAAAAATTTTCAAGTAAGGTTGACTTACAGGAAACAGGAAGACAATCAGCATCAGAAAGTATACCGTTAGATGCTGAAGTTTGCTACAGTACAATCCTGGCTGTATCGTCAGCCAATGCAAAAAGTTGTGCTGTAAAAGAAAGTATATTTTACACCTCTAGTTATTACAAAATGGTTTTAATCTGGTACATATAAAACACCTCATCAGTATTTATAGTTCTTAGGAGAATAAGAAGCTAATTCAGGCAGCTGTTACTAAAACCTTAAGCAAAGCTGCTGGAACTTAGACACTGAAATTTTTCCCTTAAAGACTGTACAATGTTTTGTTGGTTGGGAGATGGCCCCCTCCAAAGATAGTCGCTCAGCTTGCCAGATTCATTACATGATGTCAGATAGGGTGAAAGCTCCAGCTTGCTGTTTATTGGCTTTCTGGGAGCGCACGGGCTGTTCAAAGAGTAAGACGTGCTTCTGCTGCAGCTGCTATCCGGAAAGTCAGCATCCACGGTCTTCGAGTCAGATTTCCTCCTGCGATTGTGGGATGGCTCCAACTCTGCCTCATCTTCCTCTGACTTTATTTCCACATAGTCATCTTCATCTCCTTCAGTCTCTTTGAAATTGGAAAAATAGTTCTGTGTCGCCATTTGGGCATTTAAGGGCAAATTTCTATTTACTACCAAAACTTTCTGCGAGTCCTGGAGTGTGAGATCCGAGAGTTTTTCTGTGCCCGGCTGCTGTGAGTCAGCAATGCCTGGCAGCAAGTCCTGGTGACTCTCGCACCTGGAACTCCTGTGTAGTGACAGCAGCCGCTGCTTTTCCGTTTCACTGGGGTAGTTGATGGAGTCCATCGATTTGTTTATCAGGATTGAGGACGATGACTGGGACCTGTTATAAGGCTGATATTTTGCACCGATTCCTTTCCGACCCAAAGAGTTGTAAAGATGGCCCTGACACAAGTTCTCTTTGTTGGGCTGGCTGACTATCACGCTGCATCTCTGCAGGGAGCCCGGCAGAGGGTCGGAGGTTTGAAGAGAAGGCACAGAGCAAGCCGCGGACAATTGTCGGGGCGTACTTTTGGTACTGATCTCTAAAGTGGGATATCGTGACCTCAAGTCTTGCTCTGGCTGGGGACAGAAATCTGCTAACTCTCCATTACTGTAGGTTGAGTGCAGAAGCCAATTCTCGCTACCCTGTTGGACCTGGGAAGGTGACGCAGACCTGGGGAGAGAGAGGTCTTGAGGGCTGGCCCAACCATCCTTCTGAATTTTAAGGGGAGTCTCCCTGAATACAATCTGGTCGTACAGTTGGGAATACTCAGCAATCCTGGCACCTGGAAGGCAAATATTAAAATAATAAATACACATGGGATTATTCCTGCATAGACTAAAAATAACAATATAACATTCTAACCAACATATTAAAAATATTCTTAACAGTAGATAGGACTTAAGTGACATCTGAGGATGAGTAATCACTGAACATTAAGCAATACAAACTAGCAAAATAATCCATGGTTTAATATAGATACAAGTGCTACCTAAAAGTTCATTTAATTTGATCTAATTCTGCATTGTGTTATATCAACAGCAGGTCTGCAAGTGCCCACTGCGTGTAATATAAATTTCTAGTGTTCGTTATAAGCATGAAGCAGTATCCAGTGCTAAAAATGGGCATCACATTAATAAAAACAAGAAAGTCAGTACTTAAGCCTTGGTCCATGAAAAATAACTCAAGTAGTCATTAAAAGAATCACAGCCACAATCCCCAGTGCAGTGGCTACCCTGGCTTCTCCTTGCTCTCAACTACTTCTAGAGGAGTCTGCTCCTGGTGGCTGTTCCTGTACTTCTTGCTTCCAGGCAGCCTTCCACTGCCACTGTCTGGAGGAACCATGTCTAGGGGAGGTCCTCCCCTCCAGCACAACCAAGCCACACGTGTTGACTAACTCACATCTCCTTTCTCATCCCCAAGAACCCGAGCACTAAAGCCTGTGCCACCAAGACATTAAGAATGAGCCATCTGTGCATGCTCAATAATCTAATGCTCTCTAGTATTGGTTCAAGAATAGGATCTGACAGTTACTTCCACAAAAGCTTTTGCCACTTAAAATTAAGCTATGAGGCCATTTTCTTCTTTGCTCCCCCACAGAGCACAGGTATTTCTAAAGACATTAACCGAACCATGATACACAGAGAGGATTCTCTTGGACCAGCAATGATTTAGGAGCAGGAACCCAGAGATGTCAGTTTCAAGAGCTGTCCCCCCTCCCCAATCCAGGTACCCACATGACCACCTTAGAATCAAAGAACTCCATGTGTCCCATAAACTGCTCAGACCACATCTACATAATCTCTGTGAAGGGAATCTATCCCATATATGACAACCAGCTGGTGAAATTATATTTTCTTCTTTAAGCTTTTTATATGTTTAATAACCTGTTATTAGTAAATTAATCCTTGAATTTAAACTAAATACTCATTTAGTTGAGTTTCTGCCATTTCTTTTGAGTCTATTTTCTATGAGGACAGAAAACAACCCATTATTATGTGCCTTTTAATTGCAACCCCCTCAATTCTCTCACCTCCAATTCCCTGCAATCAAGGTAAATAGTTTAACTTCTCATTACTGATCTATATTCAAATATTTTTGGTTTTCAACTCTAGATTCCTTGGAAAGACAGATATGATTAGATTTGAAATTTCTAATAACAAAAACTTGAGAAATTACTCCTTAAAGGGCATAGTAAAGACTCTTAATACCAATGAAGATTTACTACCTAGGCCCACTTGATTGTGTCTAAAGAAAAATAAAAATAAAAAAATAAAGAAAAGTAAATAAAATTAAATATATATAAAAAAAGATTTAATACCACCTTAAGAGAAAGAGTATAAAAATCTCCATGGACACCAGTCTACCTATGTTAGCCATCCCAAAACCTATAACGTTTCATTAACTAGGAAACTAAAAGGCAGCTAGACCTTTAACACAGTGGTGGGTTAGCAGTCCCACCTGAATGGTCTGTCCAAGCCATTCTCACACACACGACAGCCCTGAGCCTCATCCCACAGCTCAATCAGGAAGGCCCTGAACTTTCACAAGCTTCCAAGAACACGTCAACTTTGGCGAATGCAGCAAAACTAATTAAAACGTTCACTGAGCTATTTCCAGTATCAAAATCCAACCCTAACGACTTGTAAGAACCATCAGCTCTTGACTTTAGTCCAGATACTTTGAAGCCCTATATTATCCAAAATATTCAAACTATTTCTCCTGCCTTTGTCTTCCTTATCATACTACTTATGTCTTCCTTTGCTTAATCAACTCCTACCCATCTCTCAAGATCCTCCTAAGTCCTAGCCTATTCCATCCTGGAATCCTTTGCTAACTGATTTCCCTCCTCTGAAGTCTTATATAGTGTGCACTTAGCTGTTGGCTGTGTATGCGTACACATGCATGCAGACTCACAGTTTCTGTTGCTAATTGTTTTATATAGGCTACTTTATTATGCCAGCTAGTCTCTGAACCTTTTTTTTTTTTTTTTCCTTTGAGCTTTTGATCTTGGAGAACATTGACGGGCATTTTGCTGAACTGCCCCGTAGAGCACCTAGTTCTAAACAGAAGTTGTTCTAAACAACTACTTCATTACTCAGTTTTTTCACTCCCTTTTACTTTAAGCATAGTGTTAAAAATGGATATGCTCTTCCTGGGACCATACCACTGAGGCTGGAAAGGCGGCCTGGAAGTCAGGTGATAGCAGGAAAAGGGGAAGCAGGAAGACAGCCTTGGATTAAAACGCTTCCTACGGATGACTTGTAACGGGCACAGTTTCTTTGGATGACAGAGCAGATCATTTATCAGTTTTGATTAAAAAGAATCTCACTAGATAATATACTGTGCTTATCTAAGTTTCTTTTTGTTTCAACTTGATTTTCTAAGAGAGTCTAGAACTTGTATGATGCCAGTGTGAACAAAAGACAAGTTTCCAGAGCACCAACTGTGATTAAATAGATTCCACTAGCCAGATATATAGGGAACAGCCATCCCCAGATGGCACCTCTAACCTAAAAAGCCTAGCGTTAGCTGGATCAAGGTTCCCCCATATACTTAGTTTTGACATTAACAGTCTTTATAGAACATGTACATTATCATTACATGACAATCTCAGGAATGTCTCTGGTTTATTTCCTTTTTTTGAAGGTTTGAAAATTGGAGTTCTTATGATTCCAGATAAAAATTTGAAGTAATCCTTGCCAAGGGAAATATCACACATGCTATTTTCAAGACAGAGGATTAAAATCAACGTTTCTAATGTCGTCTGAGTCATAGACAGAAGCATAAAATCGTGCCTTCCCTACTTTACACAAGGAAGAAAATTCCTCAAGCCCATATGGAGTTTTCTCCCACGTGAAAACGTCACCAAAAAAACAGAAACCCAAAGTCCTCCTTGGTCTCAAAGACTATTAGGAGGGAGGTCTGATGGAACAAAACTGCCAGTATCTACAGCAGGCTCTAAAACATAGAAGCAACTAGACCTGGTTGAGTGATTTATAGGCGGGAATCTGACCCGGGGCCTGTAGACCCCGGCTAGAGAGTTCAATAAAGGTGCTCGAGAGTTTCAGCAGGTGAATAGGGTGCTCCTCCTTCCGCACAACACCGAGAGCAAGCTCCTGGCAAAGTGGCAAGGCCCACACGAAGAAGTCTGGAGAATCGGTCCATTCGACTACGACGTCCTGTGCCCAGATAAACAAGAAAGAGAAAAGGAGTCATCATGTCAACTGATGGAAAGCCTCGTGGGCACAGGAAGTGGTCTCGATCACTCGGACGGAAGAGGCGTGGATATAGCGTCAGGTCCTGAGAGATGGCAGGCCCGAGGGACATGCTCCTGAGCTCTCAGAAGATGACTCTGGAGAGATCGCCTCCCCTTCGTTGGGGAGAACTTCGATAGTAGCCCACCATGTCAAGAAAGGACCCAGATGCAAAGCTGAGAAAAGATCCTATGGGATCCCAAGATGATACCAGCAGGCAAAACAAAAAGAACCACCAAAAGTGAGAGGAAGCAACAGAAACCCCACTGTGGAATCATTTAACACACTTAAAAGGTGGGTAAAAAAGACTATTCAAGGTAGTTGTAGGCCCTAATGACTCAGTATGGAAGGACATGCTTCTATCCAGATAAGAGTTTTATATATTAACAGATGGTCTATATTCACAACAACCTGGCCCAGGTGATTCCTGGTATACTCCTGGTATACTTTTTATTATATGTGCTCCTAACTGCAGGCATGATCCATCACCATTGGAAACCTTTGTATCACATCTTCTCTTATTCTGAGAAGGCCCAGCCCACACTTGGTCAATGGTTGCAATGGCCAATATACAACTCTTTCTAAGGCCATCTATGCCCTTTGCCCAAAAATAGTCCTTCTGAAGCGGGAACTCAGTTACTTTCTCTAAGTTTAACAGCAAACCAGCTTAGCAACAACACTAGCACTGGAAAAGCAACATGAATTACTTGCAGCACATTACTGCAAGGAGAAAAGTCTCTCACATGCATACAAAAATCACTATTAACCTTTATTTGATTAAAAAGAAGATGAGGAAGAACTCAAAGAGTCTTTAAAATCCTTCAGGCATCAATCCCAGGGTTTCACTCCCCTATCCACTGAGAAATTTTACTGAAGATTAAAGATTTAGACAATTCTTAAATACTCTCCAACGTAAAACAAAACTTTACAGCTTGTCTTATAACTTATGATTCATTTAGGATTTCGACATCCCTTCCCATTCTCTGGTTTCCATAGAGGTAGATATGTCAATTCCAAAGAAAGGAGGTTAGTGGCATCACCCTGTCCCATGTGCGTGTCCCGATGAAGCCAGTTATCTGAACCTGTCCTGAAACTGACCCATTCAAGTTTTTGCTTCATTGGAGAATCAACTCCTCTCGTTTGACACTGAGGTGGTCCTTTGTCAGAAAATCTAGGGCAGAATTTCTTAATGATGGAAAGGCCATACTATTTTAAAATGCAGATTCCTAGGCCCATGCTCTGAAATCTCTCTGGGTCTGGAAGTACAAGCTCCTCCAGGTTTTTCCTTCCATGACAGTCACGTGCTTTATTCACTCTATGCTCTTCCCCTGGGATCTTTGCTAAGTTTTGGCCTTCAAAACAGTCAAACTATGAACATCTCATTTCTATAGCCCTGATCTTACCAATTTCACACCTAAGATCCTAGTTTAGCTATGCCCACGCAGAGGAAGTCTGACGGAATAACTAAACTTCTTGGAAGCATATATGAGAACACCAAATTAGATGGTGTTAAATGCATTACAGGAGCTATTTTAAAAATCTGAATAGTAACCGAAATACGTGAGAAAACAACTGAGTTATAGTGTGAACAGCCAAGTAAAGTACAAAAAAGACTTTTATTGGTCTTCGTTAGCAGAGGTAGATATTTTTTGTCGGGATTCTGAAGCAAGGAGCACTCATTCTATGTGCTTCCATACCTTAAAAGATTACACAAGCTACTCCACCTCCTAACAAATTACTAGAAACACAGGGAAAAGCTTGATATATCACAAATGCAAACTGATTGTTTTTCTTCATACTTTAGGTTACCTTAGAGAAAACTTTCTTAAAATATCGGTTCTGTCGTGACCATGTTACAAGCACAACCAAACCCTCTGAGGCCAAATCATGCTACAACTTGCATAACTCAGTGGACGCAAAGTGAGAAAAGGTCAGTCATGACTTTAACCGCGTCTTTCAGATAATAAAGCTTGCGTGTCAGTGTTCTCACAGGTGTGTCCATTCTAAGGACATTTAGAATCTGAAAACCACCCTCACATCTTACTTTCGAGAAGGAAGAAAAGCAGTGTACATACCAATGGCAGGCCCTCCTTGTTTCTTCTCCTCCAAGATCGCGGCCAGATCTTTGTGCACGGACTTAGGGTGCTGACTGGCCGGTGGCAGCTCCAACTCCGGACTTTTCACTTTTAAAAGTTGATTTGCCTTCTTGATCTTCTGGCTGTACTGCCGAGCCATCATGAAAACCCTGCTTTTCGTCTTATCCGTGGCCTCCATCCCTGCGTCAGGGTTGTCTGGGTCTGTTTGGGACAGACTGCAGGCCAGGTCGTACGGGCTGTCCACAGGAGGCATCTCGCTGGCCAGAGAGAGCCGGTTAAGACTCATAAAGGAGCCTTCTCTAGAAATGAGGTCTTCTTCGAATGGGTAGTTGGCCCGGCTCACTCTGGAGGCCCTGCTTTTCACAGGCGCCAGGAAGGCCTGGCTCCCGGGCAGTGACAGCATGGATGTAGAGTGGGCCGGGTCCCGGCCCAGCGCGGGGGTGCTCTCAGCGTGCAGCCTGTCTTGCACGTCATCTTTGCTCACGGGAAATGCGGCAAGGAGACGGTCCCTGGTCTTGTCTTCGTTCTTCTTGATGTAATTTTCCAGGTCATTCCAGATTTCATCTACTTCTTCAGACAGTTTGTCAGCTGTGGGCTTGTCAGCGACAGACAAGGTACAGCTGGAAGAGCTGTACAGCAGGCTCAGGTAGTCGTTATCAGAGGTACCCTGGTGGTGAGGCGTCTCGTCCTCGCTGAACTGGAGGCTGTCTTGGGAAACAAATGGCCTCAGACTGTCACAGCACACAAAGTCGGCTTCCAGACCCAAAAAAGTGCTCCTCTTTGGGCGCTTTAGGCTGCTGCACTTGAAATCTAGCGATGGCGGATCTGGGAGCCCTATAGTGTCATAGATGTTTTCTTCGACCACCTGGAATTCGTGTGTGCTCTGGCTGGATGCCTCCCGGCCCGTGAGGGCTCCATCCTTCTGTGTGTGCAGGGGGCCCTGACTGTGGCCCGCTTGCCTCTTTGGGAAGGCTAACTCCGGGGTGCTCTTGGGGCGAACGGAGTCCCTACTTGATCTAATGGGAGTGGATTCAGCTTCTTCCCGTTTCGCAACCATGAGTTTTAAGTCCTCATAACTTATGTTATCATAGACGTGGTCTATGTCATCGATTGTCAACTCTATAGACGACCCAAAGGGAGTCCGCCCATCCTGCTCTTCTGTTCCGGGGCTGTTCTGAGAGCCATCGCTGTCCCTGATTCTTATTTCAGGAGGGCACGTGTTGCTCTCACCAGCACTGCTGGCCCTCCTGACGACCCTGTGACCAGGGCCGGGAGTCTCTGTGGACTCAATCTGCCCCACGTGCCAGCTGCAAGGGCGACTCGAAGTGCTGTCTTCACACAGTCTGGCAGAGTTCAAATCTGAGGAGGAGAAGGATGGCACGAACATCTGATAGTCATCTTCGTCATCCTCGTTCTCCTGTGCGGGCCGTGGGCTAGGAAACAAGGCTTGCCTGATCTGGTGATCCGTCCAGATGTTTCTGACGGCTCCACTCCCGCGAAACACGCCGATCGTGGCAGAGCTGCTCGGCTGACTGTTCCTCTGGGCAGGAGATGGCCGTGCTGAGGTCAGCCGGGGAGAGCCTTCCTCCCTGGAAACCTGAGGAAGAGAGAAACTTATCAACTGAGTGACAGAACATGGGGAAGATACATCATTTAGGAATTTCTCCTAAATGTGTTTACATGTTGCCTCTGCCACTATAGGCTATGATATTCATAAAGGAAATGATCAGGAGACAGTGTTGATTTTAATTGAGTTGAAAAGCACTTCAGATTTCTGCAAAGGGGCAGAAAGGACAGGAATATTTATTAGTACTTAGAAATTAGGCTGGGCAATATGCAGACATTCTCTAAACTCAATATTCACACTGTGTGAATTAGATATGGCTGTACCAGTTTCACAGAAAGGAAATCTAGGCTCCTAAGGATTCAGTAAGTTTCTCTACTTAGTCAGTAAGGCCTAGGCCTCAAACTTAGGTTTGACTCCAAAACTCTTGCCCCCAAAAGCAAAGGTTTTCTTCAAGGATATCAGCTAAATACAGAAAACTCTTAGATACTTCAAATAAATGTGATATGTATATGAATATATATAGTTTCAAGGAATGATATCTGGTTTATATTTGAGACTTTCTAAGGAGGCTTAGACCTAGTGCTTGACTCCTAGGAGTCTCATGGTTTCTGGTATACCAGAAGCTCCTACTGGTGATCTGACTGCATACTCCAAGGGTTTCCCTTAAATCTGCAGGCCCATCCCGAACTGGGCCAGCATTGCCTTGGTTTACAGATTCTAGGCAAAGTCTTTGCTGTAACAATGTTTAATCCACTATTGAGCTAATGATATTTTTACTTTCTTTCAAAATATATTTAATTAAGAAACATTTAGTTTCCTGTTAGGAAGTAAAATATGAGTGACATTAATGATTCCTAATCACAGAAAACAATGGGGTCTTTTATAGCTTGGAACCTTCCTTGATGGAGCTCAGTGGTGCAGATAGGAGTGGATGACCCTCTGACACGACCCTATAGGTAGAAGGGTTAGCTTCAAAAAGTTGAAAGGGTTAAGATCATTCAAACTAATTAATACTAGGTACCTATTTTCTAAGCAAAACACTACAGTTACCTATTGGAAACGTCAAGTTAGGAAGAACTTTTCATCACTTGTCAATTAAACTGGGATATGGGCCGGGCGTGGTGGCTCACGTCTGTAATCCTAGCACTCTGGGAGGCCAAGGTGGGTGGATCATCAAGGTCGGGAGTTCAAAGCCAGCCTGAACAAGAGCAAGACCCCGTCTCTACTATAAAGAAAGAAATTAATTGGCCAACTAACATATATATAGAGAAAAAATTAGCCGGGCATGGTGGCGCATGCCTGTAGTCTCAGCTACTCGGGAGGCTGAGGCAGGAGGATTGCTTGAGCCCAGGAGTTTGAAGTTGCTGTGAGCTAGGCTGACACCACAGCACTCACTCTAGCCTGGGCAACAGACAGAGTGAGACTCTGTCTCAAAAAAAAAAAAAAAAAAAAAAAATTACTGTTAGCATGATAACCTCAGTGTGAAAAAAAAAAAATCAAAGCCTCATGCCATATTTCATGACAATGAACCAATTAAGTTTCAAAAGCTTCCAAACAAAAACACATAACTTAAAAAATTGCATATGCCCTGAGCCATGAAAATCACTTAAAGACTTTGTTGATTTTTAGACATTGTATTGGTTTTAACTGAAAGATATAGCCTTTATCAACAGGGTCACTTTGGCCCTGTGCTAAGCCATGGTACAAGTGGAACTGTGGAGGGACAGTTTAATAGCCACATCCTTACAGATAGAGAATGATCAAGAATTGTTAAGGAAGCCATCTGATCCATAGGCACAGTGGACAAACCACTGGATACAGATCTTCCAACAGAGCCTACCACTCTTATTCCCTCTCTCCTAACCTTTTATCAGGGGGAGAAGAATAAAAACTTGGTGTTGCAAAGTTTCTTTCTGTCATATATCATCACACCTCTGATACCCGCAGCAGAACCATATTCTTGGAAGGGGCTTCTCATCCCCCTGAATGAAGGCTGGTGCTTTGAGGAGGGGGTTATGCACAGGAGGCCAAGGCCTTGCTCTACCCCAGGGCAGAGGCACAAGGCAGGGTGAGGTGGCTCCCCTAGTACCCTGCAGGTGTTACAGCCTAAGGTAAGGTTACAACTCCTGAGGTGAGAGGTGGGGCAGAAGAATGAATAAATAATTGCCTTAGTTCTAAGAGATGGGGTAGGGGAGACAGGAAGTTGATAAGAATGAGTCTTGCTTACATCAGATATAAATAATTCAAAATGTAAAGTAAATGTAACACATCCAATTTCCAAAATGTAAAAATGTTAACCTTTGGGATGAGATATACAGGAGAGGGCACCTACAAATGGTGGCTAAAATTAAGTGTTTTGAAATAAGAAATATGATAGAGCTTACCTTTTGGATGTCTTGTGCTGTTTCTGCAAAATAAAAGTTTGGTTTAAGTTAGAGAATTAAAACTGTATCTCCCATATAAATATGAAATAATATTTTATAGGACATAAAAAACCTATTGCCAATAATTGAAGCCCAGGTAACTTCTGGGCCCTTTAGATATAATTTTCAGAAAATGCCTTTCAATTATCCCAATTATATATCCTCTACCATACATAAAACCACCATATTATGTATATACCTGAGGTTAGATATCTTCCTTAATTTCTGAGAGCAATGAACTAATTCATGTTAATTAGTTTCAAATGCTTCCAAACAAAATATGCATTGTTTGATTAAAAAAAAGCCCTGAGCAATGAAAAGTAAAGACAACTATTTCAGCTGTCAGTAGTTAGTGCCAAAGGGGGGGGAAGATATGACAACTATGCTTCTGTTGATTTTTAGGCATTTTATTTGTTTTAACTGCAGGATGCAGCCTTTTAACCACTTCGGTACAAGCGTCAACTATAGTCATTAGCCACAGATGAATGGGCACAGTGACTGTAGCCGACAGTGGTGATATGACTTCTAATTTTTCATTTATCAAAATTAAATTGTGAACATTTAAAAATAACGTAATGAAAACATATATATATGTTACCTATCCTGATTTACATTACAAGTAAAGCTGCCTGTAAAGTAAAACAAGCTTTCAGTGCTTTAAAGCTTGCCTCATCACACAAGAGCAAAACGGATTCGTCGTCAATGCACAGCACACGCTACCGTGCGGACTGTGAGTGCCGGCTGTGGGCAAGGGTTTGCAGCCAGTGAGTGCCGTACGCACGTGGTTAATCAGCGGGGTTACCCTGGTGCTGAGCTAAGGAGTGCTGCAAGTGGAATCATGGGGAGAAATTTACACAGCCACTTCCTTACTGACATTCTTTACACACAGCCCGATTATGTATGTCTCACTGTTGACAACTGTTTAATGACAGAAGTATATAAAGTACTTCCCTCCCATGAATCCCAGCCCCTCGAGGTAACCACAATGAACAGTTTCATGTTCATCCTTCCAGCTCCTGCACTGCTCCCGCTGCACCAAAGTTATTTTTTTGTTTTTAAAATAAAGATGCAATATGCAACTTTTCTTCTGCTAAATATATTAGTATGTGGACACTTCGTTTTTTTCAACAGCTATAGTTTCATCTTGCGTATGGCTGTACTATACTCTCTTTAACCATTTCTCACTGGATGGGAATTTTATGGAGTTTCCTATTACAAATATTGCAAACAACAAACTCATATATAAATCTAGCCACATTTAGGTAAGGACATTTTTGCAGGTGAAACTGGTGGGTGAAGGGCATGCACACATTTTATTATTTATTTATTTATTTTTTTGAGACAGAGTCTCACTCTGTTGCCCAGGCTAGAGTGCCGTGGTATCAGCCTAGCTCACAGCAACCTCACACTCCTGGGTTCAGGTGATCCTTCTGCCTCAGCCTCCTGAGTAGCTGGGACTACAGGCATGTGCCATCATGTCCGGCTACTTTTTTCTATATATTTTTAGTTGGCCAATGAATTTCTTTCTATTTTTAGTAGAGACGGGGGTCTCACTCTTGCTCAGGCTGGTTTTGAACTCCTGACCTTGAGCGATCCTCCCGTCTCAGCCTCCCAGAGTGCTAGGATTACAGGCGTGAGCCACCATGCCCGCCCTTACTCTGTCATTTTATGCACATATTTTAAATTCAAACAGGCATTACTGATTTTGCTCTGAAATGTTTCAAAAATTTACACTCCCACCAACAGTTTTGGAGTGCCTATTTGTCTGTATGTTTTGTCCAAACTCATAGCTTTCCCCCCTCTATTTATTTCATTTAAACATTTTTCTGATTACTAATATGGGTGACCATTTTTAAATTTTACTGGCAGTTTGTGTTTCTTCTGGGAAGCTGCCCAAGTATATTCTCTGTACTTTAAAAAAAAAATTATATATATAAAAGAGTCCTTTGTCTCTTTTCTGTGACATATGGGGTTTCTTTTTTTTTTAGTTTCCTCCAGGTTTAATTTATGGGGTTTCTTTATATAATAGAGATATTAATCTTTTTATACCTGTTTTTTATGTTACAAATATCATGTCATTAGACTGTAAATTTCATAATGAGACACAGAAGTTAATTCTTCTCGTAATCAAATCAAATCTGTCAATCTATAATTCCTCTGGTATTTATTTTAACGTGTGGTTTAATTTAGTGGATATAAATAAGAATAAAACAAGAAAACATATTTTAGGACTTACCACTGGTTTTCAAAACTTTATGTGCTCTTGAGGAAGGTTCTGGGAGAAAAAAAAAAGCATCATTTGTAAGACCAAATCAAAATTTTTTCTTTATAAATGATTTATTTATTGAGAGACTGAGCTCTATCAAATTTACCTAAATCCCCACTGCTCAGAGACACTTAGGAGCAAGAAATTTACTGGGTCAAAATGGTAGGATAAATGACAACTTGTGGAATCAGAAGTCACATCACAGAAAAGCAGAATCCGACTATCAACCCCGCTGCCAGCAGAGCAGCTTCCTCAGCCTGAACTACCACCTACAAGCTGGTAACTTTCAACTGTGTGCTTTTATGCCAGAGGCTACAAAGCTTCAGCCTTCCCAAATTCAACATATCTCAATCTCCTCCCACATGTCCCCTCTCAATCTGCCTCTTCATCTGCACCTCCTCTCTGGGATACCTCCCGAACCGCAACCAGGATGGCATTCTCTGTTTCTCCTCCCGTTTTCATCCATCACTGTCCTGGAGGTTCCCAGTAATGCCCCCCACCCCATCTTAATCCAAGCCTTCTTCATCTCTCACCCGGACTAGTGCTAGCAGGACCACCCTCTAGCTGGTCTCCCTGCCCATTTCATTCCCCTCTTGGAGCCAGAGTTCTGTCCTTTTTTATTTTTATTCAACCTTGTTTGAAACTAGCCCACGTGCTATATAACAAACTACAACACTGCGTGGCCTGCTTCAGCATTACTTTTCCTCCTTTTACGGCCACCAAGACCAGTGTTCAGATCTGATGGGAAAGGGAACTGGAGGGCCAGAGTTCTGTCCTTAAAATGCAAACATTTTTAGAGTTCATTGCCTGATATCCTTCGGCAACTTGCAGGGTTAAGTTCAAAACCTATGTATGGGTGGCCCACTGGGCCTCCAAGGTCAGGCTCCTATCTGCCTATCTCTAGCCATATCTCTTTGCACTTCACCTCACCCACCTCTTCCTCCACCCCCAGCTCCATCCCTCACTCCGGCCATTCCGGCAACAGGCACCTATCCTAAGGTACACTGGCTCGAGCCTCAGTGCCTCTGCACACGCTGTCCCTGTGCCATCCACCTCCTCAGCCTGCAGAGTCCACCAGGGTGCTGGTCCTCTGCTCTGTGGACCTCCCTTCTCCTTCCTAGGGGGTTAACCTCTGCCTCTCTTCACTCTTCCTGCCATCCAGCCTCTGCCATGGCCCCATCGTACACAGACTGGCGTTTATTCACATTTTCCGTGTGTCTCCCGCTAGGAGCTCCTTGCAAGCAGGAGTCACGTGTATTTTTCATCCTTGCATTCCCAGTCCTTAGCAAGGCATAGACTAGATACCCAAATTCCGATTCAAATAAAACCAAACATTTGAGGCCAGGACAATACCTCGTGGAGTCTGGTGCAGCAAACGTGAGTTGGGACCTTAGCTTTGGATTATCTTTTGTGTGTGTCAGCCGCAGGATACCATTTTTCATTAGTAAGAGCAAATAGGGCTTAAGTATCTGTAAGTCAGCAGTAAGAGGCTATACAGGCAAAATTAGGTGATTGATATGTTTTTGTTTTTGTTTTTTGAGACAGAGTTTCACTTTGTCGCCCAGGCTAGAGTGAGTGCCCTGGCTTCAGCCTAGCTCACATCAACCTCAATCTCCTGGGCTCAAGCAATCCTTCTGCCTCAGCCTCCCAAGTAGCTGGGATTACAGCCATGCACCACCATGCCCGGCTAATTTTCTCTATATAATTAGTTGGCCAATTAATTTCTTTCTATTTATAGTAGAGACAGGGTCTCACTCTTGCTCAGGCTGGTTTCGAACTCCTGACCTCCCAGAGTGCTAGGATTACAGGCGTGAGCCACCGCGCCTGGCCGATTGATGTTTTATATTCACTGGGAAAGAAACAGAGTTGAGTAGAAAAGAGTTGTGGGACAAAGGCTTGAGAGTCCCATCTTGAGGCAGCCTCAGCTGTGTTCAAACTGGCAGTGGGCAAAACACCAGACAGAAATGCCTTTTTTTTTTTTTTTGGCCAGACTGAAAAGGACTTTCATCACCAGTCTCCCGTTAGTGTTCTGTTTAGATGACAACAGGCTATTTACCGGATTTTCTTCTCAGCCGATGTGGAGCGGAACCCTCTTTAGAGCCACAGAGCGGCTTGGTCTCCCCCTCGGGGCTGTAGCAGAAGCCGGGAAGGTCTGCGGAGACAAGCATTAGAGTGAGGGACCTCTCGAAAACCAATGTGGCTAGTTTAGATTTCTATGGATTTATTCTACTTCTTCAAACATGGATACAATCCCCCTCCCATAATGGGTGTTGAACGTGTATCTCAGGGCTCTTTGTTGGCAGTGGGACTTTTAGGAGTCAGTTAGTTAACTGCCCGCCCTCCCCCTTCCTGCCCTCTCTCTCTGGCAGAAAAAGCTGTAAATCCGCTTTTCCTTTTCTAGAAAGTTCCCTTCGTGGAACTATGAAGGATTGTCCTCTAGTGCGATGGCCTTTTTTTTGTTTTTTTGAGACAGTCTCCCTCTGTCACTCATCAGTCAGCCTAGCTCACAGCAACCTCAAACTCCTGGGCTCAAGCGAGCCTCCTGCCTCAGCCTCCCGAGTAGCTGGGACTATAGGTGTGTGCCCTCCTCCCCCCACCGGTCTAATTTTTCTATTTTCAGTAGAGATGAGGACTCGCTCTTGCACAGGCTGGTCTTGAACTCCTGAGCTCCAGTGATCCTCCTACCTCGGCCTCCCAGAGTGCTAGGATTACAGGCGTGAGTCACCGTGCCCGGCCTGCAATGACCCTTAATATTTTTCTAGATGTTGCTGCTTTGAACATCTGAGGAAAGTTTTAGATTCTCATTTTAATTTAACTTCACTAGGTTTGTGTCTTTCCACCCCACTTAGGGAAACATGGGATTAAGATGCTCTGGTCTAATTACAAGGTACTGCAGCATGTTCAATGATCATCTTTATCCTGAAGCTTAAGGGCAATTTTAGGACACAGCTATAAACCAGTGCTCCTCAAATTAGGAGTAAGACTCTTCAAGGGTGTCTTCATCTCAGAGAGAGTTCTGAGGATCGTCAAGACCATGTGCACGTCCCCAATGTCAGCGGAAAGTTACAGTGAGGGCATTTGGTGCAATGGACTGGCCAAGGTCTGGAAGAGATGTCTGTGGTACCAACTAGTGGCTCAAGATAATTTTGGGCACTCATAGAATCTTACTGTTTTTTATTTTTTATTTTTTTTTTTTTGAGACAGAGTCTCACTCTGTTGCCCAGGCTAGAGTGCTGTGGCCTCAGCCTAGCTCACAGCAACCTCAGACCTGGGCTCAAGCAATCCTGCTGCCTTAGCCTCCTGAGTAGCTGGGACTACAGGCATGTGCCACCGTGCCTGGCTAATTTTTTCTATATGTTTTTAGTTGGCCAATTAAGTTATTTCTATTTTTAGTAGAGATGTGGTCTCGCTCTTGCTCAGGCTGGTTTCAAACTCCTGACCTTGAGCGATTCCCCCGCCTCTCCGCCTCCCAGAGTGCTGGGATTACAGGCGTGAGCCACCATGCCCGGCCAATCTTACTGGCTTCTAAACACAAGCCCAGGGTCTGGGAACAAACAAAATAAAATCATGCTGTTGCACGGAGCCGGCCACACTGATAGCTGACCGCCGACTTCTCCGCAACCCCTGCTCGATCTTTCCCAATCTGCACACACGCAGCATGACCTCACCTGCTCTTCAGGGTGCTCTTAGAAAAAAAATTCTTATGGCAATTTCCACTGAATAAACGGTGGGGATTTGGAGCGCACAGCCTAGCACTGTGGCAGGGAGCACCGCGTGTCTCTTCTCAGGTCTGCGGGTATAAAGTGTGGAGCCACAGCTACGACAGCAGGGACAACTGACTCTCCTGCTTCTACCCTGATGACGCTTCTTTTTTCCCCTGGGGAGTTAACGAAGGGCAGCTGGACAGGGAGGGAGCTGACGGCTGCACTTGAGAGGAAGTTTCTCAAAGGCAAGGTGTTTTAGGCTGGGCGCAGTGGCTCACGCCTGTAATCCCAGCACTTTGGGAGGCCGAGGAGGGAGGATCATTTGAGCCTAGGAGTTCAAGCCCAACCTCGGCGATATGGTGAGACCTCATCTTTATAAAAAATTTTAATAGTTAGCCAGGAGTGGTGACATGGGCCTCTAGTCCTAGGTATTTCGGAGGCTGAGGCAGTAGGATCTCTTGAGCCCAGGAGTTTGAAGCTTCAGTGAGCTAGGATTGCACCACTGCACTCCAGCCTGGGTAACAGAGAGAGACCCTAACTCACACCACACACACACACACACACACACAGAGTAAGTAAAGTGTTTTGAAAAGTTTACGTATAAGTGTTTTTGTTTTTGAGACAGAGTCTCACTCTGTTGTCCGGGCTAGAGTGAGTGCTATAGCGTCAGCCTAGCTCACAGCAACCTCAAATTCGTAGGCTCAAGAAATCCTTCTGCCTCAGCCTTCTGAGTAGCTAAGACTACAGGCATGCGCCACCATGCCCAGCTAATTTTTTCTATGTATTTTTAGTTGTCTGGCTAATTTCTTTCTATTTTTATTAGAGACGGGGTCTCTCTCTTGCTCAGGCTGGTCTTGAACTCCTGACCTAGAATGATCCTCCCGCCTCGGCCTCCCAGATTGCTAGGATTAAAGGCGTGAGCCACCACACCCGGCCCGTAAAAGTGTTTTAAGTACAAGTTTCCACCAGCCCTGGTTGTAAGTGTTGAAAGTCACTGTTTTCTCTTTTTAGTCTATTTAATCTAAAATATAACAAAGATGTGATAAGTGCTTTTGAGCAAGGTCTAAGGACCTGATATAGTTATTCTCTGTCTGCTTTTATAAGCCTACAGATACTCTCACATATGTGAGATGGTTGTATTTCAGAATTTTCTACTGCATAAGAAACCAATAACTATCAAGTTACCACATTCTTACAGATAATCAACGTGGACTTTTTAGAAGATGGGATGAAGTAAGAAATGTATTGTGTGACCCCGTTTTTGGGTGGAGGGGAAGAGTTGACCCCAGAGGCATAACTGACATTGTTAGTAGATGCAGAAACCTAGACAATGAGTGGCCAGCCATCAAGTGACTCAGAGATAACCCTGGGAGAATCAATTCAGAAACAAGTCATTCCCTAAGAAGGGACTATACTATCTGCCTTTTTTGTTAACACAGTGAGTAGAGATGCTATTTTCTTACAATTGGACATTTTTTTTTTTTTTGAGACAGAGTCTCGCTTTGTTGCCCAGGCTACAGTGAGTGCCGTGGCGTCAGCCTAGCTCACAGCAACCTCAAACTCCTGGGCCCAAGCGATCCTGCTGCCTCAGCCTCCTGAGTAGCTGGGACTACAGCATGGCCACCGCATGCCAGCTAATTTTTTCTACATATATTAGTTGGCCAATTAATTTCTTTCTATTTATAGTAGAGACGGGGTCTCGCTCTTGCTCAGGCTGGTTTCGAACTCCTGGCCTCAAGCAATCCACCCGCCTCGGCCTCCCTGAGTGCTAGGATTACTACAATTGACATTTTTATAAACTTTAAGATAGAAAACGTGACAGATACAAGGAGATAATGACATTTCGAATTATGCTAAGGAAACAAAACTTACGAATGGCATCCATTTCAAGGATAGCTTGCTTGGCCTGTAAGAGAGAAAGTGCAGCTATAATTGCAATTATTATTATTTTTCTTCTTTAAACACCCAATCCTAACACAGATCTTATCTCACCTGAACAAATGGATTTTTTTTTTTCGGAGCAGAGTCTCACTTGTTGTCCAGGCTAGAGTGAGTGCCATGGCGTCAGCCTAGCTACAGCAACCTCAAACTCCTGGGCTTGAGTGATCCTTCTGCCTCAGCCTCCCGAGTAGCTGGGATTACAGGCCGTGAGCCACAGCGCCCGGCCTGATACAATGTATTTTTAAAGTTTAAACGTCGCTATTTCTTTTAGGCATTAAACACACAGTTCAGGGGATTCAAACGGATGAGCGCCCTCATGCGGGCGGGAGATGCTACACAACCGATGCTCCAGAGCCTGAGACTGAGACCACCTGCAAAGACGCGGGGGCACGGGAGGCCGGATGTGGGCGGTGGGAGGGGGTGGGAATACGGGACGGTGAATGGGGGGAGAGTAGGGAATGGCGGAGCGGGGAAGGGGATGGTTGCGCTAAAGCCTGCTGACATAAGCGTCCACCGGGAAGCTTATTAAAAAAAAAAATGCAGCTTCCCACTACCACCTGAACCTCCCGGCCACCCCGAACCAAAAACTCCACGCTGCAAGATGCTACCTACGGCATATCTATGTCACCACATCCACATGCACACCTAGGGACGCTTTGCTATTATTTGGAGTGATTAAAAATGGCGTAGAAAATACACCTGCTGGAAGTTTCCTCTCATTGCTTTCCTCCTTCCAAATACTATGTGATTGTCATCACATCTCTCTCCCTGTTCTCTTGCCCCCAGCCCCTTCCCATCTCTTCTGTGGGCCCCAGAATCTTTCAGAGGGGCTGGCGGGGTGGGGCTTTACTAGGTGGGCGACCTCTCACCTCCCAAACTTGCTTCCTCAGCTGTAGGACGGATATCAGGCCTCCCTTTCAGAGTGGTTATTAGGATGCAGTGATGGGCTCAACCACGCACTCCCGCCCACTCTCCTGGGGCTTGTGCCTGATAAACCGTGACTTTTCCTTCTCTATACTCACTTTCCCCCACTCCTACACGCCACCACCCCCCTTCTGAAGTTTAACGATTTGGGGCTTCTCTGTGTTGTTGTTATTATTACCATATGTTACTGATGTTTAGGGCAATATGAAGAGATCAGTGAATTGCTCTAACATGAATCATTGCCTAAGGATTCAAAGAAGATAAATTAGTTTAGGTAGCTTTTCTTGTCTCTTTAATGTCATCTTCATTTTTCAAGGGTAAGATAACTTACCCTACAAATATGATGCCACAAGTAACTTTAAAAATAATTTTACTCATTTTGCTATGATCTGTGATATCACAGTAAAAATATTAGGCTAAGTGGCTAAGTAAAAATAGGCTAAATCACAACCATATTTAGTTAAAAAAAAAAAAAAGGAGGAGGAGGAAGTCTCAACATAATCACCTTAATTTTGAGAAAACAAACACTTAGAATTTTGTAACAGTGATATTTCTATTGCACATTTGGAGTTGGAGATTACTAGTGAGAATTAATTTCAAACACAAAGTTAGCTCAATTTCCTGGAAGTGTACTGACAAGAACCATATTAACATATGAAATGAAAAAGTACTTACTTTTACCTTTATTCTCAATTAATTTGGACAAGAGTTCAGTTTATATGTTATATGTAATAATGGGCAATATGGTTATTTCTAAGAAGTTACCTGGTATTTATAAACCTAACTTCAAGAACTCAGTATTGGCCAGGTGTGGTGGCTCACACCTTTAACCCTAGCACTCTGGGAGGTTGAGACAGGAAGATAGTTTGAGCTCAGGAGTTCAAGATCAGCCTGAGCAAGAGCGAGACCCCGTCTCTACTAAAAATAGAAACAAATTAATTGACCAACTAAAAATATATAGAAAAAATTAGCCGGGCATGGTGGCGCATGGCTGTAGCCCAGAAGGACCACTTGAGCCCAGGAGTTTGAGGTTGCTGTGAGCTAGGCTGATGCCATGGCACTCTAGCCGGGGCAACAAAGAGACTCTGGTTCAAGAAAACAACCAAAAAAATCCCAAAAGGACTATTTCTGGATTTTCCACTAGGTGTCAGCCGAGGACCATCCTTGAATTAAAGGAATGAGGCACTTGAGAGCTAATTTCCCACAACTTCTTGACACTATTAGACCTATTTAAAATTTCCCATTACGTATTAATTTTATTTTATATAAACAAACATTTTGAATAAGATCTATCTCATAACATTTTTCTTAGGGTGAAATAATAACATAAAGTACTTAGCACAGTGTACATGTGCTCAATAAGTTATAATAGGAGAAAAAAAATTTTAGATTCTAAAAGGATCAGCAACTTGGGCAAGAAGTACAATTATATACTGACTATATGAATCATTTGAGTCCATAAAAGGAAAACCGCCTGGCATATGCACACCTAGTGTGGGAGAGAGAGACAGGTATGTGAGCTACTCTCGTTTTGTAATGGTTTTGAAATTGCCTTTGAGAATCTCTTTGGCAATTTTGATTTTCCCAGTAGACAGGTAAACGGTAGGCGGGGCGCATCAAAGCCACTTTGCCATTGCTCAGAAGGGCATTCTGAGTCACAAGGCCAGCAACCGGATGACTAGCCATGAAGAAGATGCAGCCGCCTCCCTGCATGAGCTCCCCTGCATCTCACAATGAATGAAACTCATGCTTAAGTCAAATTACACACCTATGCACATTCATTTCCCGAGCACAAAATCACTGCCGGCAGCCCTGAGGACAAGCTTCAAGTGCCTTTCAAAATATACAGAGAGCAAAACAGCCTTTCTCCTTTCTCAGAAATCTTGGCCCTCTCCTTGTTTTCCACCCAGTTCTACTCTCATGATTCTCGTCCCATTTTCCGCATCTCTTTCCTCCCAGCCCCATCTTGGACCATGACACCAAACGTGGATAATCCACTCACCACCCTCATCCCAATTCCTTGACCACTTTATCTCCGATGACCTTTTCCCTCCACTCCAGGACAGCAACTTGGAGTCCGAGCCACCCCGGAGCCTGATCATCACACCCAGAACTGCCCATCCCTAATGCAAGGCTCCAAAAGTCCCTCCTCCAGCAGCAGATTTCTGTATTACTATCGCACGAGCTTTTTTGTTTGTTTGTTTAAATAATTTGTATTCTGCTGTTGTTAGGTAGGATGCTTTTTCTTTCTTTTTTTTTCGAGACAGAGTCTCACTCTGTTGGCAAGGCTAGAGTGCCGTGGCATCAGCCTAGCTCACAGCAACCTCAAACTCCTGGGCTCAAGCAATCCTCCTGCCTCAGCCTCCCATGGAGCTGGGACTATAGGTACATGGCACCACACCTGGCTAATGTTTTCTATTTTTAGTAGAGACGGGTCTCACTCTTGCTCAGGCTTGTCTCGAACTCCTGAGCTTAAGCAATCCTCCGGACCTTGGCCTCTCAGAATGCTAGGATTACAGGTGTGAGCCACTGCACCTAGCCCATCTCACCAGCTTTAACTCCTGCTAAACCAGTTCTCTGACTACACCACCAGCAATCCTTCAACCCAAGCCTAGTTCCTCAGTTGGCTTCTGCTCTCCACTCAGCCTGAGAATCCTGCACAATTGCTGCAACTGCATGCTCAGCAGCTCCCTCCCTCGCCTGCCCTGCCCCGGGAAACCTGTGTGTGCCGTGGCTCCTCACCACTAGTTCCCAAGGTACTGAGCAGAACTGAAAGGACATCATCACACCGCTTCATGGTGGCCAGCTTCAGTTGGATCTTTGGTGCCTTTTACAAATTATTTTAGTCATCTCTAGTGAATAGTCCATTTTTTTTAAAGCAACTGTTCAGGGCCTTTCCATTCTCCCTCAGTACCCAACCCCTTTCTCTCTCCACTCACCTGGCAGATGACTTCATCACCTGCATCAGTGAAATCAAACCCTTCATCTTCCCTCAGGTCCACCTCAAGGCTCCTCATCCTTCTCTCTTCTCTCATCCTTTTCCTCCCCTGGCCAGGGAAGATGTTCCCGCTCTTTCCAAGACTAGCCCCCGTTCCTGTGCCTCTTACCCTCTTCCCTCCCACCTCCTGGGTCTCTATCCAACAAGCGCCACTCCTGGTCTGCTCCCCTACTCCTGCCCCACAGCCTACTACAGACTCAGTATTCCTCACCCGCATGGAGAAGTCCTGCTTTGATCTTGTCTCTCCTTACCTAAATTACCACTTTTTTTTTTTTTTACAAAGTTCAGAAAAGACAAAAGTCCACACCCAGCCTGTTCCTCCTTATTCCCCCCTCGCCTCAATCTTCTGTAATTTTGACCTTATGTCTTAGTTACTGAATCGGAAATCTACTTTTCTGTTTGAATCTTTTCTGATCTCTGCCGCATCTGAGGCTCTCTCTCCACTCCCTGGTCCTGGGATTCCTTCCTTTGCCAGCACAATGGTCCCCAGCCTGCCTACTTGGCCGCACGGTCTCTCCCTGTCCTCCAGCTGTCACCCCTTGCAGGTCCTTCACGTTCTGGGACCCCAGCGGTTCTTCTTGCCTCTGTACATCTCTGTGGGCCACCCTGTCAAATCTTAGGGCTTCAGGCTGCCTCTAACGAGGAAGCCTCCTGATCCTTGGCTTCCAGAGACCTGAATTTCCACCTGTGTTGACCTGTTTGTCATGGGTAACAGTGGGAGCAAGCTCTTCCTCCCTTCCTCCTCCTCCCTGGCACCTCACCGGCTCCTCCCCTCTGTAGCCTAGTGCAGGACTCAGGATGCCATGCTCATCCTTGATGCCTGTCCTCTCTGCCTCAGTGGCCCGTGGCCCCCTCTGTGGCTGTGGCTGCATGATGGTGCTCCCCATCTTTTTTCTGGATTATGGTGGCGGATCACTAATCTCTTCCTGCCTCTGCTCTCCCTCCTGCAACCTGTCTCACTGTCCCCAGAGTTATACCCTCCAAACACAGGGCCGCGCCATCTCCCCTTCCTCCCAAACCTGCAGGAGTCTCCCGAGGCTGGTGCGGTCCAGACTCCCAACGTGTGTCCACAGCCCTGCGGCTCCAGCCCCTCCTCCTGCCCCGTCCCCGGGAACAAGGCCCTCCAGTCCGGGTGCCACCCTCGTGCCGTGAACACTGTGTGCCCATCGTTCCCCTCTGGGCTTACGCGGCCTCTCGGCCTGGCCTCCCTTTCCCCTGCTTAATAAAAACACTCCTCATCCTTCCAGACTCAGGTAAAGGTGTTTTCCATCCTCTCTCTACTCAATGGCCCCGAACACTATCCCTCCACAACACCTGCTCACACCTGTTGTCCCCTCACGGTGGGCAGGCAGCTAACGGTCGCGGGGCTCCCTCACTGTGAACCCTTCCTGGTCTGTATCTAGTCGCCTGCATTCTCCCGTGGGCCTGGCACAGCTCCTGTCACTGCAGGTACTTAACGCACCTCGGAACGACGCTCATGACTCCATTTTCTATTAGTTTTCTAGAAGTTTTCTTACAGTCTTTCTCATGTTTTCTTTTTTCAAGCCCCCAAAGGAAAGATACCACCCTCTTCAGAGTCTGCCACGCGTGTGCATCTTTCCAGTATAAATGGCTGCTTTAATGGACCCTTTACACCCTCCGCCTCAATTTTCTTTCTTTCTTTCTTTTTTTTTTTGAGACAGAGTCTCGCTCTGTTGCCCAGGCTAGAGTGAGTGCTGTGGTGTCAGCCTAGCTCACAGCAACCTCCAGCTCCTCGGGGCTCAAGTGATCCCCCTGCCTCAGCCTCCTGAGTAGCTGGGACTACAGGCATGCACCACCATGCCCGGCTAATTTTTTTTATATATTTTTAGTTGGCCAATTAATTTTTTTCTATTTTTTAGTAGAGACGGGGTCTGGCTCTTGCTCAGGCTGGTCTCGAACTCCTGAGCTCCAATGATCCGCCCGCCTCGGCCTCCCACAGTGCTAGGATTACGGGCGTGAGCCACCGCGCCCGCCCAATTTTCTTTAGTTTGAAGGTAAACGTCTAGTCCTGCCAGGGTGCCTTGCCGGGACTGGAATTCCGTTTACCGACGTCGGCGTCTTACCTTGGCCGGGATCTTCGCCGCGTGGTTCTCCAGGATCAGCCTCTTCAGGTGCAGGACCCAGAGGCGCTTGTCTTGCTGGGACTTGGCCTACCGGGAGCAGATTGGCACAGTCAGACGACTCACGCCTCCACCCCGCACATACCCTCAGATAGGATGGGAGAGCACGCCATGTGGCCAGAAAGCTCTGGAAAGGCCTCCTCCGGGCACATGATGCTCATGGTTCACCGGGGGGCCAGGGCCCTGCCGTTACCTGAACCGTGTGCTGCAGCTTGGGGTTCTTGTAGTGGAAGACGCTGAAGCTGAGCGGCTCCTTCGGGATCACCTCCACCAGCATGAGGTTGCCACACTGGAGCGGAGAGAGCAGACGGGGTGAGGCAGGTGCGCTGGGGGCAGGTCGGGACCAGCCAGGGTCCTCGCCTGCCACCCACCAGCCTTCAGACCTACCAGGATGTGGGCTTTGTATGTAAACGTGTCATCTCGCTTCTTTGTGATGAGGAGCAGCTTGTCAAACAGGAAGAGTGTCCGCTCGTTCTTGGCCCGCTGGATGCGGAAGGTCCCCTCGAGCACCAGTTCCCCGTAGCTGGTCAGGTCCGGCCCCTTCCAGTTGGTGAGCAGACTCTGTATCTCCTGAGAAAGGGAACAGGCCATTGGATTCAACAGGACACGGAAAGCAAGGCACAAGGACCTGGTGGCCCATCTGTCGAGTCTCACGAACGGTGACTAATGGTCCACAACAGGGTCTAATGGCCTACATGGTAACTGATGGTCTATAACATAAACCTGCTCTTAAGGGTTAACAGAAATGAATCAAGTTGCTAGTTGATAAGTTGCAAACTACTTTGTCTCAAAAAAAAAAAAAAAAAAAAGAAATGAGTCTCACTTTGTTGCCCAGGCTAGAGTGCCGTGGCGTCAGCCTAGCTCACAGCAACCTCAAACTCCTGGGCTCAAGCGATCGCTGCTCCAGCCTCCCAGGTAGCTGGGACTACAAGCATGCACCACCATGCCTGGCTAATTTTTTCTATATTTATCAGTTGGCCAATTAATTTCTTTCTATTTATGGTAGAGATGGGGTCTCGCTCTTGCTCAGGCTGGTTTGAACTCCTGACCCTTGAGCATCCGCCCGCCTCGGCCTCCCAGAGTGCTAGGATTACAGGCGTGGGCCACCGCGCCCAGCCTACTTATTTTTATTATCTAATAATCCCTGTGCTGTGGTTGGCAGCAGCAGTTACATCTTTCAAAAGCTAGATCAGGGCCTCCCCCAACCCAACCATTATGGGACTTCTAGATGGACTTCCTTCTCTTAACTTTCTCACCCCCTCTTCTCTGGTTAAAATCCTTCAGAGCTGTTGACTTGGAAACTTTCTTTCAGACACTGAGGCCCATATTGCATATAAGTAGCTCAAAACTAGAGCCTGGGTAAAATTACCCAAGAGATATTTTCTCAGAATTTTCCTGAATTTAAATTCACTTATTTGGGGAAAGAAATAAACCTTTCTTTGCCCCAAACTTATGTTTTAGTGTTTTAATGGAACTTGAAAAGTATAGATGGATAACATGACTGACATTTCTTTGGGATTCACCATATACCAATATCAACATCTTTTGCTAGGTACATGCTGATAGTCCCAGCTACTTGGGAGGCTGAGATTCGCTGGAGCCCAGGGGTCTGAGGCCAGCCTGGCCAACAGAGTGAGACCCATCATGGGAAAAAAACAGTCAAAACATTTTTAAAGGAAACCTTTTTTAAAAATTATTTTGAAAAGTAGAAATACTCACTAGCACCATTCAATTCAGGAACCTACAAGATAATCAGAAACTTCACTGGTTGAAAACAGAAATGGGTAGAAATGGAGATAAGTTTGAGCCTCAGTCTGATTTAGCGGTGACTTCAGAATGCCAAGCAGATTCATACAAAAACCAGCCATTTAGCCATTTCTGAATACAGTAGTTGCCCCCACCCCACCCCTTATCTGCAGGGGATACATTCCAAGATCCACCAGTGGATGCCTAAAGCCACAGATAGCACCAAACCCTATCTACACTATGCCTTTTTTTTTTGAAACACAGTCTTGCTCTGTCTGTTGCCTGGGCTAGAATGAGTGCTGTGGTGGTCAGCACTACTCCAGCAACACTCAAACTCCTGGCTCAAGCAATCCTCTGCCTCAGCCTCACGAGAGGCTGGGACTACAAGTCATGTGCCACCATGCCCAGCTCATTTTTTCTCTATATATTAGTTGGCCAATTAATTTATTTCTATTTATAGTAGAGACGGGGTCTCATTCTTGCTCAGGCTGGTTTCGAACTCCTGACCTCGAGCAATCCGCCTGCCTTGGCCTTCCAGAGTGCTAGGATTACAGGTGTGAGCCACCACGCCTGGCCTATGCCTTTTCCTATACATACATACCTACGATAAAATTTAACTTACAAATTAGGCACAGTAAGAGATTAATAACAATAACTAATAAATTAGAACAATTATAACCATATGCTAGCATTGCTACTCTTGCAGTATGGGGCCATAATTAATTAAAATAAGGTTGACTTGAACACAAGCACTGTGATACATCGACAGTTGATCTAAAAACCAAGCTGGCTGGGTGGGGAGACAGAAAAAAAATAAAAACCAAGCTGGCTACTAAGTTGACAGCTATAGACAGCCTGGATACACTGGTTTATGTCCCAGGTGGGAGGGAAAAGGACAGCATGAGATTTCATAACAATACTCAGAATGGCATGCAATTTAAAACTTATGAACTGTTTATTTCTAGAATTTTCCATTGAATATTTTTGGACTTTGGTTGATCATAGGTGACTGAAACTGTAGAAAGTGAAACCACAGATAAGGGGGGATGACAGTATGCAACAGATGTCAACATTATGTTTGCAAAACACTTGAATCATAAAGTGTTAAACTTTTGTTACTGCTGCAAAAAATAAAAGTGGTCTGGAAGATTAGAATGTTATCTTCCTCCAAGTTTTGATAGTCAGTGGTATCACACCACAATCTGGCTGCCTATACCTGAAACCTAGTATTTGTTCTGACTTATGAGCCAAATAATGTATCTTTTTTTCTGGAGATAGGCACAACCGCTCTGCACAGCACAGAGTCACTGTGGGCTTTTCTGTCTCACTATATGGACACCCAGGAGCCTGGAACTGACCTCTGGGCCCATGTGGTGTTTTGGTTTTTTTTGAGACAGAGTCTTACTACTCTGTTGCCCAGGCTAGAGTGCCGTGGCATCAGCCTAGCTAACAGCAACCTCAAACTCCTGGGCTCAAGCGATCCTTCTGCCTCAGCCTCCCGAGTAGCTGGGACTACAGTCATGCACCACCATGCCCGGCTAATTTATATATATAAGTTTTCCAGCTAATTTCTTTCTATTTTTTTTTTGTAGAGACAGGGTTCTCATTCTTGCTCAGGTTGGTCTTGAACTCCTGAGCTCAAACGATCCGCCTGCCTTGGCCTCCAAGAGTGTTAGGATTACAGGCATGAGCCACCACACCCAGCCTTGGTTTTTTTTTTTTTTATTTGTTTGTTTGAGACAGAGTCTCACTCTGTTGCCCAGCCTAGAGTGAGTGCCGTGGCATCAGCCTAGCTCACAGCAACCTCAAACTCCTGGGCTCAAGCGATCCTTCTGCCTCAGCCTCCCGAGTAGCTGGGACTACAGGCACAAGCCACCATGCCCGGCTAATTTTTTATATATATATCAGTTGGCCAATTAATTTCTTTCTATTTATAGTAGAGACGGGGTCTCGCTCTTGCTCAGGCTGGTTTCGAACTCCTGACCTTGAGCAATCCACCCGCCTTGGCCTCCCAGAGTGCTAGGATTACAGGCTTGAGCCACCGCGCCCGGCCTTGTTTTGTTTTTAATAGTATATCTTCTGAGCTGCCCAGGACATGATCCGTGGCCCAGAAACTATCAAAAGTTCCCAAGCACTCTTGGGACACTGAGGTGGGAGAATTGCTTGAGCTCAGCAGTTTGAGACCAGCCTGGGCAAGAACAATACCCCTTTCTCTACTAAAAATAGAAAAATTAGCCAGGCATAGTGGAACCTGTAATCCCAGCTACCCTGGAGGCTGAGGCAGGAGGCTTGCTTGAGCCCAGGAGTTGGAAATTGCAGTGAGCTATGATGACACCACAGCACTCTAGCCTAGATGATAGAGTGAGACTTTGTCTTTAAACAAAAAAATAAAATAAAATAAAATAAAATAAAATAAAATAAAATAGGCTCTAAGTATTTGGGGCTCAGAATTTTGGTGCTAAATGAGACCTTAGCAAACTTCTTCTCTGTCTTATTAAAAAAATAAGGAAACTAAAATGACATGAGGTCATGTCCCAAGTGAAACTGCAAAGAAGCCGGTTCCAGCCTTCACTGCCCTTCCTCTGAGTTCCTTGCCTGTGGCCGCATCTACACCATCTCATAATTTCTCAGTAACCAGGGAGAGAGGAATAAAGGCTTTAAAAAAAAGCCTTCGAATGGCTTAGAGATAGTTTCTTTCAACAAGAATTACTAATTTGTAATTAATAAAAGGCCTTGGGAGACTCAAACTTTTAACTTGGGGTTATCAAAGGGGCTATGAGCAAACTATAGCTTAAGAGTTACAATGTAACTTTCTACTAAGTAGCCGTACTAAACAATGATCGGCATTATATCCGTGTCCTGACCTTCCTTTAGGGAGAACTATACTGAAGACCATGAACGAAGTGCAATACTTGAGCCGCCCGAATATTGGATTTAGGAAAGGATAACCAGTCAGTGCACCAACACCACCGCGGGGCACTGACGCCTGGCCGGCTCACCTGTAACCGAACTGCGTGCTCGTGTTTGCGCTTCATGTCATTGATGTGCCAGGCCACTCGCTGCATCGTGTCTATAGCATCGAGCACCACGTCATAGCCTTCGGTGTCCTTATCAAGGTGATTTTCTATTTCCTTTAAGCAAAAAAAAAAAAAAAATTCCATTTTGTCTCATAGCCAATGAAACACATGGCACTTCTATGATTAGTTCCTTATATGTTTTACTTTTAGCTTATTTTATTTACACACTACCATCATTCCTTAAGATTCTGAGGCCAGAAATACCTGCAAAATAATGGTAAGATAGGAATAAAAACAGGGATAAGAAAAACAAAACTGGAATAGAATTCCAGGATGAAGAGGATAAAATAAATGATATGCATGGTCCATTAAGTCTTACAGAGATATTATAGTTATTATAATGGATATGAGAGTTGATATTATAGCTATAGAGTTCTGAGCTTCCTGGTGGCCAATGTAGCACAGTTCTTAGCAATGTAGGTTTCGCTCTTACAAGATAAAAAAACATGCTTTTTATATTTTCTTCCACAGGGAACAAATGTTTCACGCAGGACCTATACATATCTGTTGAATCTGTTATGTGTCTGTTTATATGTAACAGATTCAAAAATATAGTGGACATTATCTTAAAAAAATCTCTATAGCAACTGCATATTCATGTAGTTAAAGGTTTTAAAGCCCAAATGAAGTTCACTAAAGACAAGCCCTCAGTGTTGAAAGACATCCATGGTTCAAGCATTCAATTCTCTGACGGTCGGCAGTATGTTACATTAGCACTCATCTTAGCACTGGGGGTCCACAATCCCAGGGACATGAGACAGGGATATGATCTTTGTTCTACTACTTCTGAGTACATAAAATACCTGTCCTTAGACTTCTCGAAGAACCTAAACGTAGAGACTATTGTACATAGTCCCTTTGTTTCTTTTTTTTTTTTTGAGAATTGTTTATTGATTACACATGATAATGGTTGATACACAAGCTTCATTTCCATCTATAATTTTTATCTGGTACCATTATTCAATTTAGATATATTGCATAGGATATGCCAACAATCATCTTTATAACCAATAATTCCATGATTTTTCCTTGCATGGCCCCTTGTTTCTTTATTGTCTCCACAATACCTAGCAGAGAGCTCTGTGGTCAATAAATGCTTATTAAATTGAAGCTACATTTTCTTAAAAACAAGAGTCAGGCACCATGGCTCATGCCTGTAATCCTAGCACTTTGGAAGGTTGAGACAGGAGGATCACTCGAGACAAGGAGTTCAAGACCGGCCTGGGCAACATAGCAAGACCTGGTAGTGGTGGTATGCACCTGCAGTCCCAGCTACTTGGGAGGCTGAGGTGGGAGGATCACTTGAGCTCAGAAGTTTGAGACCAGCCTGGGCAACATTATATTATAGTAACACTTTGTAAATCTTTATTTACTTTTATTGAGTACTCAAGTTTTTCATCTAGCTAGAAATGGGTAAGGAAGTTACATTTATTTTCCATATTCAGACTCAGATGTTGAAAAGGCACTATGAAACCATACTAACAAAACTAATGACTCCCAGGTAAATTCAAGACCAATGGAAAATTTTAAAAAATAGTAATTCCTTCCTTTAGCCTGAGAGGCAATTCTGTTGATCAAACAGACTGAGAAGTACAGACTGAGAAGTACAGAGAATATTCCTGGGGGGATTTTCATGCATGGCTATGCAACTGTGAAATGATGTGAATGACAGAGAGAACACTCTAATCAACTATAAGAGCAAAAAGGACTTCAAAGGCAACTAAAAGTTAGTTTTGGATTAATCCAAATACTGTTCTTCTCTTTTTCCTTCACTGGCAGCTCTTAACATAGAGGGTAAGGGCTGTTATTCCTATTAATTAGCTTTTTGTAAGGATCTTGACTTGTCTCACATGCTTCACTGAGATCTCAGACTTTTTTTTTTTGAGACGAGTCTTGCTTTGTCACTCAGGCTAGAGTTGAGTGCTGTGGCGTGGTGTCAGCCTAGCTCACAGCAACCTCAAACTCCTGGGCTCAAGCAATCCTGCTGCCTCAGCCTCCCAAGTAGATGGGACTACAGGCATATGCCACCATGCCAGGCTAGTTTTTTCTATATATATTAGTTGGCCAATTAATTTCTTTCTATTTATAGTAGAGTTGGGGGTCTCGCTCTCCCTCAGGCTGGTTTCGAACTCCTGACCTCGAGCGATCCGCTTGCCTCGGCCTCCCAGAGTGCTAGAACTCCTGACCTCGAGCGATCCGCTTGCCTCGGCCTCCCAGAGTGCTAGGATTACAGGCGTGAGCCACTGTGCCCGGCCAGAGATCTCAGACTTTTGATTGGTGGTCATCTCCTTGTCTAGAAGACCACATTAGGGGTTACTGGGACGCACGAGGCTTAGATGTCATATTAACAGGGTTCAACAGAGATCTGTCTTGAGAAAGATATTATTTAAGAATTATTTGGATGCAGCTAATTAATCCCCACTAAACCTAAGAGGACGTTAGGATCAATTTAAAAATTAAAGTAATATCCCTGATATGGCTTCATAGGATATAAGAATCCCCAAAGATGAGCCACCCAGGCAAAGAGACAAAGCTAAGGAATTTCTGCTAAAGCTGGATGGTCAAAATTCTTAAAATTTTAAATGTGTGTGAACTGAGCAAACCTGAAATGATGATCCAAGTTAGAAACCTGGGATCATTTAAGAAGAGATGCCTGTGAACTACAGGCATGTTGACAGAGAGGTGCTTGGGATTTGAATCCCTTTAAAAAAGGGACTTTTCATGTAATATAAAAATAATACAATAAAAACAATAGCTTACTTTTATGGAAGTGCTTGTAAGCCACAGTGAATGTGGGCAATTTATAGGATTTGGACCCAGGCAGTCCTGCCCCGGAGCCCTGTTCCGAATCCCTCTGCTACACTCTCTGCTGTCCAAAGGTGAGCAAGTCCTCTTTACAGAATGAAGATCTCGATAAAACTTTTTTCCATTTGTCTCAACTTCCTTAGAGGATAAGAAGTGAGAATTTGAGAGCTAGGACTATGTTGGTTTCCAAAGTCTCCCTGAATTTTGTGAGAGTAGTGGGAAAAGAATACAAAGATATCCTGGGGTGAGGCTGAGCCCGGCTGGGGTGATCACTCACCACACTGCTCATCTGTCCTCCCCTTTCAGCCCCTTTCTCTCTCTGCTCTCATACAAAAGCCAATCTATGACAAATAGCCTCCCCTCCCTCCCAGCTGCTCACTGAATCGGGGCTCATGGAAATAAAACAAAACGTTAAACAGTCTGTTTTTCATTTAGACGATAGCTCCCTGCCTGAAACTGTCACTGCCCGGTGCGAGGCACTCCTAAGCCCGATCAGAATCAGAGCTAAAATTAATCTCTTTACTTGGCTGTTGTCAATGGGGCTCCAGGCCTAGAATATGAATATCTCTAATTCCTCAAAGCAGATTAGTCACTTGTAAAATATGAGTGTGGAAAACGTTTCCATATGTCCATAGTCTTTCCTGGTATTTTCCCCCAAACTTAATATATACACAGAAAATCCCCATCGCCTGGCAAGCGCTTCGAGTGCAGGCAGAAACTTACATGCAGGAGGAGATGATACTTGAGAATCCGCTGAACTGGTTTCAAGAGATAGGACCCCAGAGGCAGTGAGCGTTTCAGAGTTTCCTGGCGTTCCCTGAAGAATTTGGCCAGTATCTTGTTCCTCATGCACTCTGTGAGCACAGCCACTGATCTGCAAGAAGAGTAAATGTTTTTTATCTAAATCATAATGCTTTTTTACACGGGTATTCAAGTTTTAAATGCCAGTTGTTAAGTGTAAATGCCCTAAAACAGGGTAGGGTGGCCACAGAGCTATAGCCAGACTAGCAGGCCTTTGGGCGGATTAGAGAAAGCATCCCTCTGGGAGGGGGAGTTAGAAAAAGGCCTTGTACCCAGTGAGCGTAGCGCCATGGGTGCCCAGGTATTTGAGTGGGACTTTAGCTCCTGTTATGCAGTGCTCATATTGCATGTCTGTGTTCGGTTTCCATGGGTTAGATTATAAGGAGTAGGCACCTTTGTACTGAGAAAAAGGAGTTCCTTCTTGCCCGCAGGTTGAGCCCCCTGCCAGGGCATTTGTTACCCCCCCCCCCACTGCTGGTCACTTTATATGATGCACAAACTGCATGACCTTACATGGTGGCCCTCTTTAGAGAACTCTTCCCACGGTTAACTTTTCTTTAAGGATTTTTGAACAGATCTCCCCTTCCACCTTCAAGTGATTCTCCTTACTCTCTCTATGTTTTTTAGACAGAGTCTCACTTTGTTGCCCAGGCTAGAGTGAGTGCCGTGGCGTCAGCCTAGTTCATAGCAACCTCAAACTCCTGGGTTCAAGCGATCCTCCTGCCTCAGCCTCCCGGGTAGCTGGGACTACAGGCATGTGCCACCATGCCCAGCTAATTTTTTCTATATATATATTAGTTGGTCAATTAATTTCTTTCTATTTATAGTAGAGACGGGGTCTTGCTCTTACTCATGCTGGTTTCGAACTTCTGACCTTGAGCAATCTGCCCACCTCGGCCTCCCAGAGTGCTAGGATTACAGGCGTGAGCCACCGCGCCCGGCCTCTCCTTACTCTCAATACAGCTTCTGGAAAGGCTAGATGGCCTTACTCCTGTGGAGTGTGCCTCAGCGCAGGGTATCCGAAACCTGGGTGAGAATTCCTTCTCTAACCCAGCTCCCCCAGAGGTAACGCGTTCAGCCCCAAAACATCTTAAGGCAATGGATGAAACAATGTTTGTGTCTTATACATAAAGCAAGCTAACAGGCTAATGTGGTCACACACACAGGTAAATTAAAATCTTGTGGCTTCACGATGTAGAAGGAAGCAGGTGGAAATAATTTCAGCCCCTTTCTACCCAAGTGAGTAATATAGTTCCAGGATTAATTGAAAAAAATCATACAGAGTTAAAGAACAAAATAAGATTCCATGAAAGGAAGGTAAATGGAAGTCTCATACTTAAGCCATTAGAATCCCCTTTAGGCCCATCTGCTTTGAGAAATACCGATTCAAACTGATTTATTTCCTCCTTGAGTTGAGATTTCAAAACTCGGCTGCATCATGTAACCTGGGAACTTTTCTAAGGTTCTTTAGAATCAGAATTAGCCACTGTGTTGCCCTTGGGTCACTTGAAGGCTTGAGCTCTTGCTCAAGAATAAGGACCTGCCACAAACTGTGAGCACGCTATGCTCCCAGTTCCCAGAAGTCTGGGGCGTGGGCAGGCATCTGAGGACAATGACCTGACCATGTTTGTGCCCCTCCCTGGGGGCAGGAGGGAGGTGGGAGCTTGTGTCTCTTCACAGGAAAGTCACTGGGGTGTGACTGGTATGAAGAAAGTGGACACCTGTCAAGGTGTGCTGACATTTAATATCACCAGCCAGGATCCAAAGGGGGAAGAAGCATTGTCAGATGGGCCCAAACACCTGGCACTCACGGCTTGTTAAGACAGGGGAAAAGGATTGTCGGGCCTCAGATAGCAAACTGCTTGCAGACGAGGGGGCAAGAGAAAGTATTTCCCTATGAATCTGAAAAGCACACAATTGGGCAAGAACCGGACATGCCTTCTTCACCGAGAACACCTTTTGAGCACCTTTCTGCTAACATGTTTCTTCAAAGTCAGACTCAAAATAAAACAACAAAAAAACCCCTCACTTCCTCCAGAAAATTATTCTTAACCATCCTCACTGGGACTGATTACTTCCTTCCTACCTTGGGCATCTTTAGCTTCTATTATATTACACATTACTGTGTCCTATATTAATTCATTTTTATTGAACACGCTAGTCCACTATTGCATTTGGTTGAGTTCTGACCCTCAAAAGAATGCGAACTAGTTGAAGGCAAGAGATGTTTGTTCCTGTTTCCTGCCAATATAGACCGACCTTGCAACAGTGCTCCGTGAATGACAGGCTCTTAAAAATATTCTTGCACAAATGGTTTTGCCTTTCCCTTGACTTGGAAACAGCCTAGCATATCAAAAGACTGCCTTTGTCTTGTACTCTTCTTTCTCAGTAAGTCAGAAAATCTTCTGAATTTGCAACTTTGGAAGTTTATATGCGGAAGTTATTACTTCAAACGGTATGTTTATCATGAAATTTACACATATATAATCCCCTACATGAGCCCATCATTTTAGAATCTGATCATCAGTCTAGAACTCTGTGGATTCTTCAGAGTCTGAATGCTTTTTCCTTTCTTTAGGAAGAAGTTTTGTGGAGAAATTGAGGGCTGATTCTGTGATTTCTCTGAATTAGGGTGTGGTGCAAGCTTGTTTTTGTCTTAAGGACCATGGGATTTAGTTGGGGCCTCCTACAATTTCCTGATAGCTTCATCACTGGGGTGGAAACAAATACTTTAGGAGGGAAAATTGCTTAAATGAAACTGTAAATGATGGGTGAGTCTACAGATAAGGATCGATGATAAATGCTCTAATATGCATGTGGATTTTTTGTTATTCGCTTTTTTTTAGGGAAACCTGGGAGACGCATGGTTGGCCACCAACCAAATAAATCATCATGGCACAATGTCCTGACCAACAGTAAGAGGAGGAGGCTAAAATCCTCCTACGTCCTTTCTCCAAACTCCATAAAACTTACACAGCAAATGTAAAACATATTTTCTCCCCAGCTTGATTATATAAGCTCACCAGCAGTATTTCCCAAGTATGAAGTGTTTTTAAAAAACACGGCACACATAGAAAAGGCTTCACAGACCCAGCTGACAGCCTGATGCAACTGGCTCACTGGGTTTCTCTTTGTAGATACTCAGCAATCTCTTTAGTGTCTTACAAAATCTTTCAGGATTTTTCTGTACACTGCCTCTGCTGGGAGCCTCAAAGCCCTGAATCAACGTCTGGGTCCCCCTGTAATCTGTTCTCAGCATGTTTTGCATTCTTCCCATAGAACTCAGCACAGGGCCAGGCATACAACGCCCAGCCCACAGACATGGGACTGACTCGAAAAGATGTGAAAGTGAGCACAAGTATGCCTGCTCGCTCTGACCCATACCTCGGATAGTTGGTGCAATACTGGGTATAAATGTGGAACTCTTCACTCTGTGAAGAAACAAGAAGAGATTTTTATAGGCGAAGAAAGCACAGACATCAACATTCATTTAAAAACAATAAAAAGGAATAGCATTCAGGCCTTTACGTTTGTTTTTCTAATCACACTGGCCTGTCACCTGAGCCCCTGTGTCATCTGTGCCTATTTTTCCATTAATATCTTGTCCTGTACCTAGAATCCACACACTTGAACCCATCTGGGTCCAATAAACACTTACTGAGCATCAGCTATGTTACAATGGATCTGAAGACAAACAGGAAAGGGATGAGAATAAAGTTTCTGCCCCAAAGTGCTCATAGTCCTCTGGTGGATATGTGGCACAGGACAGAAAGAGAAGATGATCTGAATTAAGAACACGCTGGAAGTATGTGCAAAGGCATGAGAGCTGTAAAAAGCTGCTGCTGTAATTTTGAGTCCGTGCATATGCAAGTTTTCTCTGTCCACTGTCTTTCCCTCACTTTCCACTGGATAGCCATTAAGTATCCTTTGAGATTGAGTTTCAGGCTTTATTTCTCCCAAGGAGCCTTCCTAGGCTGAGCCAACTGCTCCTACTCTGAGCTCCACAACACCCAGTATTTACCTTTTTTGTAGCATTTACCAAATGACAGTAACACTTTCTGTTCATCCATCTTCCACATAAAGCTGTGAGTTCCTTCAGGTTAGGGGCCACATGTTGTATTCATCTGGCACATAATGTTTGTTGTACTACTGAATCCCCTCTCTCCTACTAAACTGAAAGTTATTTGAGAGCAGGATCTAAGTTTACTCATCTCTGCACATCTAGCAGTGCTGCAGAGGCAATTAATGTTCAACTAACAAGTGCGGGGGTCTTGCCTTTTGCTATGATTTGTTCCCAGTTCCCTAAAATCTCTTTTTACTTCCATGGCTATGTTCATCATTGAGATGCCTCATCATATTATCAGGTATTAGGAAATGTTGATAATTGCTCACCAAAGGATAGTTTTTGCAAAAGGTGGAATCATGACTTCCATGCAAATATAAAATGAACACTGTCAAAGATTTTATTTAACCTATTAATGGGGAGAGCAATAAGACATCACAACCAGAACAAAGGAGAAATAAAAGTATCATACTCAGGTGGATCAATGACAAATGCTGAAATGAATTTACAAATAGATACAAAACTGGTTTCTTTCATGGGGATGGATAAAAAAAAATCAACTGTCCCTCTGTGGATCAGAATTCATTTGCATGTCTATGGTCAAGAATCATTCAGGTTGCTACCAGCTATCTAAAATTCACAGAGCTGTAAAAAAAAGTTCAAAGAGGCTGAAAGCTGCAGAGACCCCACTGAGTTATGTAATCTGGAGGGATAAACTGGAAAACACTTAGTTTTCCATTAGAGACACCCAGTCATCTTTTTGGTGGATTTCCATTTTTCATAATTTTTTCTCACACTGCCAAGGGAAAGTGGTGAATAGGTGGGGGAAGTGGCCAAAGCTAGGTTATTAACCTTTCGGTTTTAAGACAGTCGGAAAAGCTAATTTGAGCCCAGTAAATTACTGGCTCTTGCAAAATCTAAAATGAAACCACCTTTTGAAAGAGCCACAGACGATTTTGGGGGAGTGCCACGTTCTGCTCTTTTTGACTTTTCCTTTTACCTTTGAACCACTTTATGCTGGATTCACACGGGACCCCACAACAGCCTTTCTTCTCTGTAACTTTAATGCTTTTTCTTTTTCTGATTCAAAAAGACTCTGCACCGAGACGCCTATTAAACTAAACTGGGATTAGTCTCAACGCTTTTACATTACAGGAAGTTTCATGCACATATGAAAGTAGAGGGGTGGTGCAATGACTCCCCAAGCACCTGTCGCCCAGCCTCAGCAGCCACTCCCTCGCCGACGTCTATATCCCACCTGCTCCCTGCTTTCCCGTCACTCGGAAGCAAATCCTAGACATCTTCTCACTTGTAAATATTTTATTATTTTATTTTTTACTGTTTTTTATTTTTTTTTGATACAGAGTCTCACTTTGTCATCCTAGCTAGTGCAGTGGCATCATCATAGTTCACAGCAACCTCAAATTCCTGGGCTCAAGCGATCCTCCTGCCTCAGCCTCCTGAGTTGCTGGGACTACAGGCATGTGCCACCATGCTTAATTAATTTTTCTTTTTTTTTTTTTTTTTTAGTAGAGACAGGGGTCTTGCTCTTGCTTCAGGCTGGTCTTGAACTTCTAAGCTCAAGCAATCCTCCTGCCTCAGCCTCCCAAGTAGCTGGGACTACAGGCATGCACCACCATACCCTGCTAATTTTTTCTATATATATTAGTTGGCCAATTAATTTCTTTCTATTTATAGTAGAGATGGGATCTCGCTCTTGCTCAGCCTAGTTTTGAACTCCTGACCTTGCACAATCCTCCTGCCTCGGCCTTCCAGAGTGCTAGGATGATTACAGGCGTGAGTTACTGCACCTGGCCCATGATGTTTCTAATTCTATTATTCTTTCTTCATTTATCAGTCAGAAACTTTCCAAAAAAAGTAACTTCCTCATATTAACTATTGATTACTCTGCAGTTTGTATGGGAAAGGCAGGATAAATGCTTAATATCCTCTTTTAATTTTCAAAAAATATACGTTGTTTCTGAAGTATCCTGCAAAGGTGACCAATTCGTTTTTTTTTTAATATCACTGTAAATTCATGAATATAATTATATTTAATGAGTGTCGATTGTTTTCAGTTAATTATCTTTCCTGATGCTTAAATGATCCTATCACTGGCTAGCAGGAGCCTCTTCCTGAGCATTCATGACCTGACCTACAGGTCAGGAAGCTACCTTCCGTAGCTTCCATGTTTTCTGGTGTGACAAGACGTTCCAGACCTTCTTGTTTGTGTATTGCCTACCCCACACCCATGCTTCGTGGAGCCCTGATTCCCTCTGGCAGGAAACAATGTTTGGAGGCCACAATATGGGTGTTAGGGATACTCTTGATATGAGGTTAATCATTTCTAAGACATTTCCAGTTGACAGAGTTAGGAATACGGTGTTTTTTAAAGGATAAAATACATCCTTAGTTCATGCTAATACTTATAATTCAGATTCAAGACTATAGCATTTTTAATTAACCACATCATTCTTATGTCTATTTTCTTCCTCCTACCAGTTCCATATTTTTTTAAAATCCAAAATATTAAGGGGGTATAAATGTTTTCGTTACATGAATACCTCTTATAATGCTTATGCCAGGGCTGTTAGTGTGTCCATTCCCCAAACAGGGTTCATTATACTAGACAGGTAAGTTCAGTTCCAGTTCTAAATGACACTAATATAAATACTACTTTGCTTTATCCCACAACATATCCAATAATTTCAGAACAGTAGCAATGCCATAAATATTATCATTACTAAACCTGAGATGCATTTGCTGTATTTTGTCCAAAGCATATTTTCAAATCAATTGGAATTCTTTTTGTGTGGTTATGCCACCAACTGGATACAGTTTCATTTTGCTTTCAATTTATGGAGACTTTTTTTAAAACCTTAGTTTTATAATTATATAAAATATTATAAAAACATGATTTCAAAGTCAACTCTACAAAGAAATACATATTCAAAGAAGTCTATCATTGCTTTTTTTTTTTGAGATAAGAGTCTCACTCTCTTGCCTGGGCTAGAGTGCTGTGACATCAGCCTAGCTTACAGCAACCTCAAACTTCTGGGCTCAAGTGATCCTCCTGCCTCAGCCTCCCAAGTAGCTGGGACTACAGGCACGTGCCACCGCGCCTGGCTAATTTTTTCTATTTTTAGTTGTTTGGCTAATTTCATTCTATTTATAGTAGAGATGGAGTCTTGCTGTTGCTCAGGTTGATCTCGAACTTCTGAGCTCAAGTAGTCCTCCCGCCCTGGCCTCCCAGAGTGCTAGGATTACAGGCGTGAGCTACCGCACCCGGCCTCTATTCCTATCTTAAATGAGAGGTTTTTGATTTAAATCAGCTATTTATCCTTCGTATAGAATCAAATTCAGGTTTGAGCAGCTCTGTGGACCTTATTTATGAACCATGGTTTCAAGCAAAAATCAACAGCCCCTAGTTACATCCTTAAATGCTATTGGTTACTAAATATGCCATGCCAAATCCTTTTTAGAAGTTGTTAGGGAAATATGTTATAGAAACTATACAAAAAATAGATATTTTCCTTCAATTATTCAACTCTTTCAAATGGTAATTACAGATGATGTAGAAATGAGACAATTATGAAAATGCCAAAATATAAGACAGTCAGGGCTCAGTGACTAACTGAGCACACAGGACTGGCAAATACTCATTGAATAGGTAGCCCGAGTAAAACATATATGACTTTAGGTTTCTTCTGCCACACGGTTGCTTTCCTTCTTTGATTCCTGAGACGTTTTCACTGGACACTATGGGAAAGGCTTAACAAGTAAACAGCACATGGGCAAGGCGACCTTCACTTGAATTCACTCTAATAATATGGAACATCCAATATCAGCACTTTCTTGAGGGTGATTTCTTTTCAGCTCAGCAATCCCGAATCCTAGTGGAAGGTAGTTTCAGTAAGTTGGTGGGGTGTGTGCGCACGTGCTCACTCTCTGGGCCCTGAAAGGGGAAAGGCAGCCAGGGGCAGAGGGCTGAGCAGCCGGGGAGAGGTGGCTAAGGGGAGGTTGAGGCTCTGAAACACAAATCCCGTCTCTCTCCTAAACGTCCGTCGCCCAGGGTCAGCCCTGCTGGGCGAGTCGAGATGAGGGATGGACGTGAGGGCGGGGGTGAAGGCAGCCAAACAAAGCGAGCTGTTCCTGGTGTTCCCAGAGTCCTAAGAGTGGACAAATGTTCACCGGAAGAAGGCTGAGCCTGCCAGGTGCGGAGCTTTAATTTCTGTCTATCGAGAGGGCTGCTAGCTCCTCCTCCTCCTTCTGGGGGCCATCAGCTAAAAGGCTGCCTCCTCCTGTCGGCGAAGACTTCTGTAACCTCCACATGCCACAGACGCACGCAAGGTCAAAGATGAGTCTGGGTAAGCCCCAGTGATCCGGATAAAAGCCGGAGTCAACCGCCGGCTTCACCCCTTTCATTAATGGCCTCCTAATTAAAGCAATTTTCCATTCCTCCCCAGCACTGAGCGGCTGGTTGTGCTTCAGAAAACGTAACATCTCCTAAATTTCAGGGCGCTGAGTGAAAAGCCGGTTATGCCGGAGTCAAGAGAGCGCTCACGGTTCCCTGCTTCCACGTGAACGTGTGGACTGAAGTCAGTCTTCTAATTAAACTTGGCAATGTTACAATGAGAAATAAGATTTGGGAGCTGGCAACATGGCACATAAACAAACTTTTATGTGAATAATTAAGTGAGAGCTAAGCACATGCTGGAACATCTTTAATCAACTTGTGATTACAGTTACCAGTAAAAGCCCAAATGTTTCCGAAAGCTTTTATGTTGTTTATGTGCTGCGGTTATTTTAACATATCTTCTTTGATATGCTCGGTGTATCTTTTTACTCATTTCTCCTTCTTTCGTTTTCCTTCTCTTTTTGCAAATTCCTGCCCAATTACGACACAGGCAACTTGTGAGAAGGACTGTATGTGTAAGCATGTGTGCACAAACATTTTACATGTGAACATACACGCACAGTCAAGAGAGTTTTATATACAAGCCCACTGATTGCCTTTAAGGAACTTCACGTCAATAAAACCCAGGGTGTCATGTTTGGATTCACAGCCATCCAGATGGAGCTGCAGCCATCAGAAACGACCCTGTGGAACAGTCCGAAGCTAGGCCAGACTGAGATGTCACCTCCCAAGTCACGTTGGACTCAGGCGCTCTAAATGAAGTGTTAATTCTCAGCTGGTCCCAAAGCACTGTCATGAACTTTTGTGTGTGTGTGTGTGTGTGTGTGTGTGTGTGTGACAGTCTCACTCTGTTGCCCGGGCTAAAGTGTTGTGGCATCAGCCTAGCTCACAGCAACCTCAAACTCCTGAGTTCAAGCAATCCCCCTGCCTCAGCCTCCTGAGTAGCTGGGACTACAGGCATGCACCACCATGCTCGGCTAATTTTTTCTATGTATTTTTAGTTGGCCAATTAATTTGTTTCCATTTTTAGTAGAGATGGGGTCTTGCTCTTACTCAGGCTGGTTTCGAACTCCTGACTTGAGCGATCCTCCCACCTCGGCCTCCCACAGTGCTAGGATTACAGGCGTGAGCCACATGCCTAGGATTATAGGCATGACCACCAGCCACCCTCATGAACTTTGCTTAAACCTTTGTACATTTTAAATTATTAATATAACTGCAGAAACCGCATGAAGGTTTGCTGCGAAACAACTTTTAGAGGTTTTCCGAACAAAAGCTGTTTAACTTTTAGGAGAATTTAAACAAAGTAGGATTCTATATATGCTAAGAAGCATGTTGAGAAAGTAACCCAGGAAAGGCTGTCCTGGTATGTTTCCGACTCTATTTCCTATTGTGTCTGGACTATGGGCTCACTGTCATTTAAGCTTTAAAAGTCAAATCCTTTCCTTGTATTTTTTAAACCATCAATGGGGCTTAAGAAACTTAGAGGAAAACAGACTGCATTTTTAATACACAGATTAATTCTGCTTCTGTTTATCCCCCAAAAGATAATCATAGAGACCAGGTGAGTGCCACATATATTATTTATAAAATATCTAGATTCTATTAGAATTTTATAACTAGCTTAGTGGTATTTTATACGTATTCATTTTGCTACCATTCTTCTACTTCTACTCTGGACTCTCTTCTCCCAAGCTTAGTTTTTCCCAGTAAAGAGTAACATTATTCAGTTACTATACAAGTTCTAGGATAGCTACCACATCAGTGCATCTCCTTTTCCCCAGTAATAGTATATATTTTTTCCTTGCTGTGGAAAAAAAACAACCAAATAAAAAAAACGGAGAGATTAGTGGCTATCTTTATCCAGTATGGAACAAACCAGTCATTCTAACTTTAAAAAGAAAACAGTCCATAATCTGTGTCTGTCTTGGTTTGGCCCAGATTAATGAACCCTGCTTACCTTGGACACAAAACATTCTGCTATGGCCACAGGATCATTTTCACAGTTTTCCAAATCTTGCAGAAGTTCACTAATAAAAAAAAATAATAATAGGAAGTATTAGATTGTAGTTTTCTGGTTGAAGATATTTTATGTAACTTAAAAGTTTAAACATTTCTATGGCACTTATAAGGAATCATACGATTGGATGGGGACCTACTGCCATTGTATCCAAGGCTAAGATAAGGGACTTGCTCCAGGTGGTGCAGGAATTTATACATTGGGGGGAGAGCTATAGGTCCAACCTGAGATAAGCTTTGCCTAACATTTAAGTTTTCTAGACATTTGTTATTGTTTACACAAATGCTTATGCACACTCATTCATTTGTCAAATAAGTGCCTAGGTACCAGGTACAGTGCAAAGTATTAAGAATACACCAGCTAGCAAAATGAGATATGGTCCTTGGTCTTATGGAGTTCCCAATCCATTGGAAAAGTCAGACATTCCATGAAAAAAATCACACTAACAAATATGAAATTATAAAGAGAGATAGTGCTTTAAAGGAATGACATGCTAGGGAAGAAAATATATTTCCTCAAATGTAAATTTAGCCTGGGCATGGTGGCTCATGCCTGTAATCCTAGCACTTTGGGAGGCTGAGGTGGGAGGATTGCTTGATGCCAAGAGTTTGAGACCAGCCTGAGCAACACAGTGAGACCTCGTATCTACAAAAATTAAATTAGCTGGGCATGGTGGCACACACTAATTGGGAGAATGAGGCAGGAGGATCACTCAAGCCCAGGCATTTGAGGGTGCAGTGAGTTATGATGATGCCACTGCACTCTAGCCTGGGCAAAAGAGTAAGACACTGTCTCAAAACAAACAAAGTCAAATGTAAAGTTACATTTTTTAATGGCAGTATCATTATTTATTTTAAGTAACAGCACAGTATTTCATTTCGTGGATGTATCATAATTAATTTTAACTAATCTCCCACTATTGGATGTAATTCTATAATTGACAGGTCAAAGGACATTCTCAGTATAAATGTTAACACATTTCTTAATTGCACTCTATATAAAGTTGCATTAATGTATATTTTAATATGTCAAGTGTTTATTTTAATTATCTATATATTACATATCTAATAAAAAGTCAAACAGTCCTACAAGAACAGTTTCTTGCTTTGTTTCTTATCCTGGACTGGCACTGCCCAGAAGCATTTTTGACCCTTTAAGCTGTTTCTGCTCTAAGCAGATCCATATTTCTAAGCATGCTGACAATATCTAGAACTGAAAAATGAAAACACATTGATTTACTCCTTAATTTCTTTAGCCCTCCTTTCCTGCCATCTTCTCAAATAGTTCTATTAGGCAATTTGATTTAGATGTCAGAACTTACATCTTTAAAACTATGTAAATATTAGTCTTATTTAAGTTTTGGAATATACCATGATTTTGTTTTCTTTCCTGTAGAACTGTGGTTTCCCTGAAGTTAAAACTATCTTTTTCGCTTTGTTTTCAAAACATGCACCACTAATATATTCTCGAACTGCATGCCAGAAGTACGGATCTTGTCTCACTGTGTTCAAGCACCAGGTAATCGATCAGTTAGATGTCTTTCTTGGTGACCTCCATCCTCCATGCCAACCTGGACGGGCTGCTCTCCAGGCCTGCTGGGTTCTCTTTCCAACACCTTCCTGGTGATGGTCTTTGCCAGTCTCCGTGCTGGATGTCTTGGTTCTTAGATACCATTTCTGACATATTCCCTACTTTGGGAGATTACAACATCCACCAGTAGCTCTCTGAGTAAGGCTAATAATAGGAGGCAACTTTTCTGAGGCAACTTCCCGTTTCCAAATATTCTCCCTTCACACTTGGCTTATGTCTGTGGCTGTAGACTTGTTGGTTGGAAGTCATTTTCCCTGAGTATTCAGGGAACTCTCTGTTGCCTTAAAAATTCCAATGCTGCTATTGGGAGTCCAATATCATTGTGATCTATGGGCCAGGTTCCATGTGACTTTTGTTGTTGTTAAATTCTGGAAGCTGTTAGAGTTTTCTCTTTGTTAACAGAATTATGAAATTTTGTGATGGTGGGCTTTTTCATGAGACAATCTGAAAATTTGGGAAATGATCTTGAGCAGTGGTTTTCCAAGTGTGGTCCAGTGACCTCTGGGGTTACTGAGATCCCTTCAAGAGGTCCTTAAGGTCACCGTTTCATAAAAATGTGGACATCATTGGATTTTTAATTTTCATTCTCTCGTAAGTAGTGTGAACTTTTCCAGGGGCTACGTGATGTGTGATATCACAACAGATGGAAAGTAAAAGCAGATATGAGAGCTCAGCTGTCTTCTGGCAAGTCAGACAGTAAAGAGATTTGCAAAAATGTAAGATAATTCCAAAGCAAATAAAACATTTAATGACAAAAGAAGTTAATTTTCTTAGAAATATGTAGGTTTAGTTTTATTATTTTTTAAAATTGTATTTACTTAGAAGCATTCAGAATGTCAACAAAAGAACTGCAACTTTGTTTTTGCCATTACAGAGTAGTATTCAGTTAACAGAAGAACAATTATTTTGCATAAGCTGCATCAGAGACAACTGAAGATAATGGAGAAACTGCCATCCTCACATATAACTAATTTGTGCTGAGCACCAACAATAACCTGCTTTACATTTCCAAGCCAATTTACAACCCCCACACTGTGCCACTCAAGGTTACTGGCTATTGAAATTACCACCAGGACAGGGCTATCAAAAGACATGTCCAGCAGTGTGTTTACACAAAAAAAGATGCTGTACAGTTTAAAAAACAATTTTTTTTTAGATAGAGTCTCACTTTGTTGCCCAGACTAGAGTGAGTGCTGTGACATCAGCCTAGCTCACAGCAACCTCAAACTCCTGGGCTCAGGCAATCCTCCTGCCCAGCCTCCCAAGTAGCTGGGACTACAGGCATGGCCACATGCCCGGCTGATTTTTTATATATATTAGTTGGCAATTAATTTCTTTCTTTTTAGTAGAGACAGGGGTCTTGCTCTTGCTTCAGGCTGGTCTTGAACTTCTAAGCTCAAGCAATCCTCCTGCCTCAGCCTCCCCAAGTGCTAAGATTACAGATGTGAGCCATTGTGCCTGGCCCCTTGCAAATATTTTAATATGTATCTCTAAAATAAGGACTAAACAAGATATTATCACACTTAAATAATTCCATAATATCATGAAGGTTACCCGGTTACTACTTATATTCTTTTTCTTAATTTTCTTTCCTTTTAAAAAAAATTTAACTATTTTATTTGGATATAAAATTCACACACAGCAACCGGTTGATATCTTTCTAGTCTCTTTTAATCTTTAATTCCCATCTATCTTTTTTCCCCTTGCAAGTTAGTTGCTGGAGAAACGAGATTGTTTGCCCTGTACAGTCTCAGTGTTACTGAGACAACCTTATGGCTTCCTCTAATGCACCCTGTTCATTCTAATCCTTGGGGTTTCAAGAGAGGCTTGCTTGGATTTAGGTTCCAAAATTTGGCACAAAAACATCATAGGTTGCATTGCACTTTTTTTTTTTACCATATTTTGTAAATTTAATCATTATACCTTTATTGTGACTCACAGTGACGTGGTTTTCTCTACTCATAGACGACCTAAATAACTGCCACCCCTATATTCTCTCAATTTCATACACTCCGCTCTTGGACCCTCATCTCCTATCTTTCCAGCTTACTCCCTCTATTTTTCCTATTCCATCAAAACTTTAGGCCCATACTCCTGAACGTCAACATTGGTGGAGAAAAACCACACAACCACCCTGACTGTTCCCACTTTAAGTTCATGCCACAAGACTAAAAGGAGATCCTTAGTTCTGCCTAGCAATCAGAGTACCTTCCCCTAGGCCAGCAGTCAACTTTTTTTTTCTTCAATTTGAGAATTGCTGCATTGCACTTCCAACAGGAGGCACATAATGTGAGCCTGTCTCTTTGTGACAACAACCACTGGTAGTTAATTCATCAGGGGTTGCAAAATTATGATATTTCTATTTTTTTTTTTTTTTTTATTTTTTTTTTTTTTTTTGAGACAGAGTCTGCTTGTAGCCCAGGCTAGCGTGAGTGCCATGACGTCAGCCTAGCTCACAGCAACCTCAAACTCCTGGGCTCAAGCGATCCTCCTGCCTCAGCCTCCCAAGTAGCTGGGACTACAGGCATGCACCACCATCCGGCTAATTTTTCTATATATTAGTTGGCCAATTATTTCTTTCTATTTATAGAGAGATGGGATCTCGCTCTTGCTCAGCCTAGTTTGAACTCCTGACCTTGCACAATCCTCCTGCCTCGCCTTCCAGAGTGCTAGGATTACAGGCGTGAGTTACTGCACCTGGCCCATGATGTTTCTAATTCTATTATTCTTTCTTCATTTATCAGTCAGAAGCTTTCAAAAAAGTAACTTCCTCATATTAACTTTGGTTACTCTGCAGTTTGTATGGAAAGCAGGATAAATCTTAATACCCTCTTTTAATTTTCAAAAAATATGTGTTGTTCTGAAGCATCCTGCAAAGGTGACCAATTCGTTTTTTTTTAATATCACTGTAAATTCATGAATATAATCATATTTAATGATGTCGATTGTTTTCAGTTAATTATCTTCCTGATGCTTAAATGATCCTATCACTGGCTAGCAGGAGCCTCTTCCTAAGCATTCATGACCTGACCTACAGGTCAGGAAGCTACCTTCCGTAGCTTCCATGTTTTCTGGTGTGACAAGACGTTCCAGACTTCTTGTTTGTGTATTGCCTACCCCACACCCATGCTTCGTGGAACCCTGATTCCCTCTGCAGGAAACAATGTTTGGAGACCACAATATGGTGTTAGGGATACTCTTGATATGAGGTTAATCATTTCTAAGACATTTCCAGTTGACAGAGTTAGGAATACGTGTTTTTTTTTTTTTTTTTTTTTTTTTGAGTCAGAGTGTCTGCTTTTCCTGTCCCTAGGCTAGAGTGAGTGCCGTGGCGTCAGCCTAGCTCACAGCAACCTCAAACTCGTGGCTCAAGCGATCCTCCTGCCTCAGCCTCCCGAGTAGCTGGGACTACAGGCACGA